TACTGCGTCGCTGTACGATAGAATATCCACTCGTCCTCCACCACAAGCATAAGCAACAGGAGATGCTGGAACTGCAAGCAGGTACAGTATACCGTAAATTTCGATATTAACGCCTGGGCCTTAATTTTCAAGAGCTTCGGGAGGGCGTAAAACCGCAGGGCATTAATTTCAGTGGAGCGTTAATCTCGGATTTACGGTAAGCCTTTCAAAATAACTAGTTACTCTGCGGGCACTCTAGCAGTATGAACTATGAAGTCTTAATAAGCGTACACACCCTTGGCATCCCAAACATTAAGTCGCTCGCCTAAGCATCCATCTAGTACGGTTCTGTTGGGCCAACGTATTCCGAACACAAATTCCTTTGACTGAATCTAGATAGAAAAATAAACTGGTGAAGTTTTTTGTACGTGCTAGTTAATGCAAAACCACTTCGGTAACCCATTTATCCGATAATTTTAAAGAAAAATAATTAGGAAGATGCATTCTGCTGTGGTTCTGGATGACTGCAGCGACAGTACAGTAAACGCATGCAGAAAACAACGCCGCGCCTGCCTATACAGATGAACCGGCGGCTGACTTAAAAAAAAAAAACCGACTGCAGTATTTTGTAGGCCAAATATTTTTAACTTTTCGTATCTCTCAGAAAATAGGCTTTAAAAAAAAGCATTCCATCTGCTCTAATCTACTCACTGGATACCGAATCAATGGTTCAAAATCAAACGAAAAATTGGCAGTCGTGATTTCTACAAAGCTGCAATTATACAATTTTGCTTGCGCACTTATAAATTTAGCTAACTTTGACCATTGGGCCATTTTTTCAAAAGAAGTTGTGGAGATATCTGGTTGGGATTATATAATTTGCTGCGCAATCTTGTAAATTTAGCCATTGGGCCGCTTTTCAAAAGAAGTTGTGGAGATATCGTTCACAGATGAAGTTGTTTTGCAAAATTTATTTCTAAATGTTGCTGAATCAAACGACGCCAATCGAAGAATATTGTAAAGATTTTGTGCAGTAATAAGCATAGTTGCAGTGCAGGACTGTTAAACTACGGAACGTTTTCCGAACCGTAAGTTTTCCCCAACCAGATACGTGCTGTTTTAGGAATAGGCAACGTCAATCGAACATGGAGTAGTGCGAGTGTTAGGAAAATCAGCTGTCCGTACATCGGTCACTGGCCCCAAATGCACTTCTGCAGAATAGCCATTGTTGGAATAGCCACGCAGAATAGCCACGGCATACGGTGACCGTTTATACCGCATTCGCCCGATGAAGTTGCACCGCTGTCAAATCTGACTGTTAATTTACTGTACCCTACAAAAAATCGTGTACGTTACATCGAAACGATGCTACCGGCACTTTGCTCAATGTGCGGTTCTGGCTTTCCAAATGTCTTGGAATTGGTTTTCGGCTGGCGCGCTAGTCGCGCAGATGTGATTGTGTTTGTGTGTCACTAAGGCCATACTGTATATGGACGCTTCCGAGTTTTATCGCAAGGATACCTATACTTCACGGGTCGCTGTGTGTACGCCGAGGAATCGTTCTACTGGGAGAAAATGGAAAGGCTGAGACAGCCTGCTACCGTGTCTCCCTAAGCCACGCCCAACCCGAACCGGAGCGCATCGCGGACCTGAACGTGGCGTGTTACCAACGTTTGGTCGGCATTGTAGCGGCCATAAAAGTGTCCCACCTGACAAAATTAAAGTCGAATGCGGAAATGCTAATTTTGAAGTTATTCAAAAACTTTGTAGAATCAATACTGCCACTATCGGTAACATACGCCACCCGTTTACTGCCCAGTGCCCTAAAAGCAGATCGGCTGATTTTGCGCCATTCGAGTTCCAGTCGGGCAATTTTCAAGTTAAAATGATTCCTCACTTATTCTTCCTTCTTTAGCAGACGGAAGACAGGAAAACACTTTTGCGAGAAAAATCAAAAAGGAAAGAAACGGGAATTTTCAAAAATTTGCAAGATGAAAACTGCACTGCGCTGCCACACCGGGCGGTTGTGATTGCTTCAAGCCGAAGTCTTTGAATTTTCGTCGTTTATAATGTTCAGCTTGGAAATTTTGAAACATAAATGACACTAGACAGAAAATTTATTTTAATAGGAATACAGGCCAAACTTGACGTGAAAGCTCACGAGCGTTACGTGTTACATTCGTTAAACGGCTTTACTTGCCGAATCGGCAGTCAAAGTAGTTGCTCAAAATACGTCACCTTCGCTAAGCTCCAGTCGATAAAATAAACATTCTAAAGAAATATTCATGCCGTAATTCTGTTCTCACACATCTCGTTAGCTACAAATGCAGCCTTATACAGAGTAGGAGAACGTCTTCAACCACTTGCTCATCCCACGTGCCTAGTGTACAGAGATACCTTGATTGGTTGGCCAGAGGAATCAATCGAATAGATATACTGTGCCAATAGGAAACCGTGCTGGATAGTGTAGTGATCTGAGAATATACGGCTGATCATCTTTCAGTTGAATACGTTCGAAATCCTGTCTGGAATAGTATGACTTATAACAAGATACGGTGACACGGTAACGACATTGAATATCACTGTGTGCGTGAGTAATAAGACCACAAAACGCTGTGGCATTGCCGCACCCAGGGTTAGAGACAAGCAGAATTGTGCGGAGTGTTACGAGTCAAAGGTACTGTACTTACCGTTTCATTTGCACTCTTCCATAAAAAAAGCATGGTTGCTATGAGAAGAGACCTCGCGGAAGTACATATTATGCTTGATGGTTTCACAGTTCTACACGCGTGACTTCCGTATTGGCTGCAGGTAAATGTGGTGTCCATTCCATATACACCTCGTTCGCGCCAAGTTGGCGGTGTCTATTTAAAAATTCCCACGAACCACTAGTCTATAAATTTACTTTTATGTTTTCAATGAATCTATCCAACACCATTTGCAACTGAGGTTCCAAGGATTTGTGCTTGTTTAGAATTACAGGAATTTTACCACTAGAGGAGACCACTTCAAAAATGCGCTGCAGTCCAGCTATTCCGGTTTCCTCCCTCCGACATAAAATTCGTTTTAATTTTCCGTTTATGACGCAGCCCACGAACGCTGAGACTATTGACTTGGCCATACAATGGCCCTTTGGGGTGCACCGAACACCATTAACTTGATGTCACTCCTGGGTCAGGGCACCGGTACAACGGTGGGCGTGGCCAAACTGTAGGACGACCTCCTTCGCGAGGTCACCATACAGCCGTGGGAAGTCCTCCTTGACCTCGCACCACAAAATCAAATTCACAAGGTGTTGGGCGATAATTTTTTCACTACACTCCTCACCATAGGCGCGCGACCCTCCATTGAAACAGTTCTCAGTTGACACCATCCCTTTTTTCCACTAGCGCTTTGTTTAGGCGAAAAAACGATTTCGCTCCCCTAGGCGTTTTGCAGGTCTGGTCTAGCCGTTGACTTTTAGTTCTTATTTACGAAGCACTTTCGTGGGGTCCCCAAACTGACCTTAATTTCAAGCGCCTAAAGTCTTTCCTGAATTTCTGGCTGAATTAAATTGTGTTTCAGCACTGCCATGACTTGTTCCATCGGTGCCTTCGCGTAGGAAGGTGTTTCTCGCGACACTGCTACCGAAAATCGATAACGTTTTTGCTCAACAAATGCGCAGAAGAAAACTGCACTAAAAATTTTAAGAAGATAAGCAAAGCATGCGCCTCACGATTCGGCAGAAAATTAAAATGACGCACCGCCAACTTGGCGTGAACGAGGTGTTACTCAGGTGTATATATCTTCCAATATTTAAAAAAAATGATAATCACCATTACTTGATGAAAGATCAAATGTACCTCAGTTCGGTATACTTGGATAGTAAATGTTGAGGTAAGAAAAGCCATACTTTACTCCTAAATTTAAGAAAGAGGGAGAATGTCGCCGTTAAGCTTCTTTATTAAGAAAAAGATCGATACTACGCGGCCTCCCACAGTCTGGAGATCTCTATTGCCAAAATCAAGACTTTTGTTTTTGATACGTCCGATCAGAATCGTGCGGGCACGATGCCGGGAACGATCCAACCAAGTTTCAAGGTTACCTTCAAATTACATCTGTCTGGAATACATACTGTAGCGTGCATCATTAAATACGCAAATTAAACGGAATAAATTGAACTTACTTTTGTACAACCCCAACCACAGAATTAAGCAATTACAAGTTAATCTATCGATTTTCGGAAACAGTAATCACCTTTCTGAAACAGTGAACAACTTTCTTTCCGAAACAGTAACAACCTATCAACTTTCTGAAACAGTGAACGTTAGGTCACTGTTTCAGATTTTGTTAAAGCTTGGCGAATTGTCATTCTCTGTAATAAACCTAAGCAATTACACAGCATGACAAGTGAATCAACCGCACTCTTACATTCCCACGTGCGCACGAGTGGTCACGCTATCACTCTTATCTTATGAACCAGGTAACCCACGCATAACCACCACAGAACCAGAAACGTACCAAATGCGCTTTCACTTGTTTTCATTGATACCAAGACATTACCACTTTACCCCATGAAGGTGAACCTACTATAGAGAATTACGTAGAACAAACATTGCATCAAAACCAAGTACGGTACATATGTATTCAGCCGGTAGCGGCAGCTTCCACGCTTACTTTTGTTCATGAGAGGTGCCAGATCGGATTTGCTGAAGTAGCACAACGCTGGACGTGCATTTGAGAAAAGTAAAAAACACTTTCTCTCAAGAAGAAACTTGTTTCTAGAGATTGCTGCGCTGCATGGAAGTGTTTTACTGCATTCTTGACAGTTCGATCCCATACCCTTTCATTGCGGCTCCTTTCTCTGAATTTTGTACTTATTTTTTAGAAATCTAAAAAACTGGTTTTTTGTCTTGGCTGTTTCGATATTACTGAACGAAGATTATTGGTACTGTGGTGCCAAATGGCAATGCACACGAACGATCGAGTTAACCGACAATTATTGTAATGTTCGGGCATCAACCGAATCACGGAATTTAATATATTTTAGGGTGGACTCGCAGCATTTTTGGCTATTCTAACAACCTCTCGCCATCTTTTCGCTATTCCCACTGCCTTTTGGAACTAGGCTTTAGTTAAATTTTCTGTTTGCGCTCCACAAGTCCCGAAGCCATGCCACCAGAGCAGTGACCACATTTCTCCATATCTGTACCATTTATTATTCATACACTGTAGGTCATCGTTTTTTCAGCAGACATATACAGATAGTGTAATACCGTACATAGTGCCAGTTTTGCTCGAAAGTTTTGTGCTTGCCACTTGATATACAGTGCATAATACTGGCTGCAGCAATACCGGCATCTGAAGGTGATCAACTCTTGCATCATATCACTTTTATTTTGTTTCCGGAGTCCCTGAAAAATTTCCGTGCACTCAAAGTGTACGCAAGAAATTGAGAACATAAAACAGAGTGCCGTAGGGCAGGGTCACGATAGTACATATTTTATAGCAACTAAATTCCGCCCGCTTAGACTGAGAAAGCCTATCCGACAAAATTTCCGACTTCCAGCCGCACTCGAAAACGCCCGACTAAAGGCTCCAATCTGGCACGAGCGCCAAGGCACTAATCTGGCACGAATCTGGCTTCATGAACATATCGGCATAACTGGGTGCTGCAAACCACGTTCAGTATCATGCTTCTACAAAAAGGGCTTGCTTCCACCAAAAGCAGTAACCTAACAGGAACGTTTCGGGAAAACATCCGGCTGAGAAGCATTCGACAAAAGGCCCGAAAACACATGGCAGCGAAAACTTCTGCCTCGAAAACATACCGAATGGAAATCCCGTAGCTAAAAAGTGCCAGTAAAAAGCGGACCGAGCCGAAACTATCTGACTCGGAACTTCGAATGCACACCCGCTTAGCTCGTAAGCACTTTAGCGCCTACACTGAAAACTGGCTGGCTTAAAAGGCCCTGTCCGACAAAGTGTTGCACTCATGAGGGTCAAACGACACAAATTCCTGTAAGTAAAGGCCCGTGATAGCTTGGATGCACCGGTTGAGCAGCTTCCGTATGCTTATCGGAACACAAGCGGACACCCTTGGGCGCTTGCGGAATAACCCGTCGCGTTATACTTTCTAGCCACCATGACACGTAGTGCCGAGCCACTTGTACGGTTCGCACTCTCCAGTGTAGGGGCGGTTTGGATTCTAGCCGGCATTTCAGGGAGAGACAGTCGGTGCCGTTCGGAGTACGTGGTATGTTGATGGGCTGCTTCAGACAGGAAGACAAATTGGTAGTTGGTTTAGCGCGTCACGGTGTCTACCGGCAATCAGGAGGTCATTGACGGGTAGGTCCGGCTCGGACTTTTCCTTCTGGCCCTCTATTATACAATCTGGTCGCATAAGTTACTTTACAATGTTAGCCGGTGCAGGGAAAGTGGCATCGCCGGGCTTACCTTTCTCCGATGGAAACCGTCAAACTCGGTGACGCTAATATTCACGCCGACATGGTTCCCATGGGGTCCTATCCATTGGATTGTTTGGACGGGTGCCGGAAGGCGGGTTGCAGTAACCTATGCAGCTAGACTTGGGTTGTGTGACGGGTCCAGCAACTTACCAACGTGGGGGTGAAATGGCAAAAGAGGACCAAGGACATTATCACAATACGACTAGGCAGGGTATTCGGACATGTTCGGCGGAGGAACATGTCCGATTAGAGGCGACAGAGGCAAACTCTGCGAAGCAAATTTTTATTACCAGTATTTGTACACACTTTAACTTCGAATTTCGACCGCTAGTGTTCGACCAGACACAGCGCGACCTACCCTGTTCACCACGCCAACCATATGCACGGTTTCTCTTGAATACTCGTGGCGTTGCCATCGGTCACCGTTGGTATCCGGCGGAGGGTGGGTGTGTAGATAACATCTTCGATAATTGCTCCGTAATTTGCTTTATTATTTGCAAACCACGAAAAGCAATTATTTAAATTTTCATATACCAGACACGATTTACGCAAACGCACTTTACAAAGAGCGAACTTAATTGTTGACTTCAATACGAGCTTACCGTAGCATGCCGAATCGACTTGTACAGATAGACTAGTTAAACGCGCTGCAGGCGTGGCGTTATCCCGGCACGTTCTGCAGTGCAACAGCTTAATTGAGGTTGTCGTAATGCAAGATTTACTTAATGCATCTGCAATCATTTGTGTAATAAGCCCTGTAAAACATTCTGTTTACAGGTTTCTCTGTTAAAATTTTGATAACGTAGCGACATGCCATCTCTATCCAGTTTGCAAGCAAGCTGTTCTCTTACCTTCTTTAATATTTTTTTGTTGTTTTTATAAATTTGTTTAGACTATTTGAATTTCTTTCGGTTTTTATATGTCGTAAAGTGAGTTGCTATAATTCTTACTTACAAATAAGTTACAATGGTGCTCCCGTGTCCGCCTAGAAATACAAAAGTCTATCAGTACAAAACACACACCAGGAAGCCATACATGTTGTACTTACAAGACAAAACGGCGCCTGTGTAGGTCCACCAGCACAGAAACCCGTCAGTGACGGTCCACGCAGATAGCGCGGGTGATCTTTTGAGCAATATCCGTATGTGTGTCGGTGCAGGTCCGAATATCCTAAGGGGGCCGCTGGTACACCCACAGGCCGCAACTGTAGGCTCCTCCCCTGTTAACAGCTAGCTCCAAGGCACCTTGTAGCGTCCGTACATCGTACACTCTCCAAGATAGGCGCGGTTATCGTAGGAATTGCTGTCCGAGAGCGGCTTATCCTGACGCCGATCGGAGAAACACACTGGACAGGCGCGCTCCATGTTGATAGGTTGCTCCAGTTCCAGGAGGACGAAAAGACGGTTCGGGTAGCGGTTGGTGGCGCGGAGGTGATCGTCCTGGAAGAACATCCGCTTGGCCAGAATATACTGGGCCTCTATTTCTGCTGAGCCGGAGGTGGCGCGAACCGCGATGTTGGCCATAGCTTTGCGGGTTTTGGGATCGCGTCTGTATGAAATAATCAGTTCAAGTGTTCAACTACATAAGTAGTGGTTTTCTTAGGTCTTTCCTTCCTTAATTTGCCTAGGGTTTCTTAGATTCTTAGGGTTTTAAGAGAATCTTAGATTTTCTCAGGTCTTCTTATACTTCTTAGGTTTTATAGCCCTCGTCGACGCCGAGCTGCCGACGTCGGTCGACGAAATTTTAATCAACATAGTGCCGATAAGCTCAACCACAAGATGCCTAAAATTGTAGCCGAAAGGTCGCGGCAAAATATAACTTTAGATCAGAACTAGTCATCGGTTAAAAGTTTTTAACTGCAGCCACTGACAATCGTCAAGACAGCGGTGTCGTTGATAATCACGCATCGGTTATTTATTTTTCGAACCCTATCGTAATTAGGAATGATTCGGCCGAATCATTGCTATTACGATAGGGTCTAAAAAAGTCCGGTTTACCCAAAGTATATCGATAAAATCATACCGCTCCCTGCACAAACGGTATGACGAGACTGGAGCTCAGCAGTGTTAATCCGCCTCGTGCTGTATTCGCTTCAAACAAAATTACAAAAGTGGGACTTACAGACCACTGGCGACCGTTAATACAGCGGTGTCGTTGATTATTACGCCGACATGGCTGTTTCCGTTCCTCTTCCAGCGCTGGGCTTCGAAGGGATTACAGGAAGGTGTCACATAGAAGCCGATGTCAACAAGAAAGCAGTCGGGGGTGGCGTATGTCGGGTCCAGTACGACACCGCATCTCGGATACAGCGGCAAGGGTGGATTAGGAACACTGTCGTCACAGGGCGGGGCGGTGGTGTTCGGTGTAGTGGCTGGCGGAGGAACATTGGTGGAGGTGGTAATACGTGTGGTCGTGGTTGGGGTTATGGTTACTGTTGGTGGCGGATTGGACGGCGTTGACGACGGGGATGGTACCGTCTCGGTGGTGGTTGGTGACGGGGGCGTTATGGTCTTAGGTGGCGTTCCAGTGGTAGATGTAGTCGACTGTGTGGTGGTATTGTTAGGTGGCGGGTATGTCCCCGTCCCGGTGGTAGAGGGAACCGGTGGTGTCGGGGTGTAAATGGGTGGCGGATACGTTCCCGTTCCGGTGGTACTTGGAGTTGGCGGTGTCATGGTGTTGTTAGGGGGTGGATATGTCCCCGTTCCGGTGGTAGAGGAACCGGTGGTGTCGGGGTGTAGATGGGTGGCGGATAGGTTCCCGTCCCGGTGGTACTTGGAGTTGGCGGTGTCATGGTGTTGTTAGGGGGTGGATATGTACCCGTTCCGGTGGTAGAGGAACCGGTGGTGTCGTGCTGTAGATGGGTGGATAGGTTCCCGTTCCAGTGGTACTTGAGGCGGCGGTGTCGTGGTTTGCCAGGTGGAGGATATGTCCTCGTTCCGTAGTGGCAACGACGGTGTGGTCGTGTTGCGGGGGGGATAAGTCCCTGCTCTAGTAGTGCTTGAATCGACGGTGTCGAAGATGCCAGGTGGTATGTACCGTCCCGGTGGTGGTAACGACGGTGTGGTGGAGCCTGCAGGTACGGTAATGGGTGGTGGAGTGCTGTTGTGGTAATGTTGGGCGGAGAAGTGGTGGTAGAGGCTGTATTACACGGTGGTGGCGGTGGTGATGGTGGCGTTGTAGTCGTGTTGGTTGAGGTATGGCGTTGTCAGGGTCGTGTTTGGCGTGGAGAGGGTCAGGGCCACTAAGATGTCGTCGACGCACCATATTGGTGGAGTGAATGTCCCAGTGGTCGCTGTTGATCTGTGGTGGTCGATTTACTCGGTGGCGCCGTAGTTGATGGCGTTGGTGTTGTGGAAACAGTGGGCGTTGTGAGCGTGCCTGGAGGGGGTGTTATTGTGACGGTTGTCTCAGTTGTGTCTGTCACCGTGTAAGGCGTTTCGGGTGTAGTTGTTATTTTTGGTGGCGAAGTCGTCGGTGGAGGGGTTGGGTTAGAAACGCAACAACTCTCTGGCGGCTCTGAATACAAACCATTAGCATAAATTATCTGTAATTAGTACTTAGGAGGCCATACTAACCGACTATTTTAGGTAGTTTTGACGTTTAACTTCTACTTCGTGTAATTTTGTGCTAAAGCAAACACTTTACGCGATGCTTAACTTTTTCGAAATTCTGTGGTTTCCACAGTGTACACTGTAAACACACATTAGCGTACCTTCAACAGCATTGAACAAGAAACTGCCGCGGGGAAATATGCTGTCTTTGATAGTCCCTTTGCCAAGATAGCAGCACGATTCCCAGCGAACATCACAGATTTCACATTTTATATGTTCCTTGGTATGGCTCAGTCCAGACCTGACACAATCAGCCAGTTGGGTGTCGTTAACACATGTTCCTTGGCCTCCATCTGTGTATAAAACACAATAGCTTTCATATAACCAAAGGTCATCACATGAACTTTGCTCGATCCGCTGTTTTGCGGAGAGGGTATAATGACGTACCTATAATGATTCTTTCACTAAAGATTCCATTAAAGTACTCATCGCGATACACCCAGCAGTATTTAGGCTCATAAACATCCATAACATTGGAAAAGTCGCCTCTCCCGAAATGCATTCCTGGTAGGTTGAGAGCATGGGCGGAGTGAGAAATCCGATCAGTACAGAGTGCAACCAATGACAGAATCAGTACAGCCGTATTTCGTTGCATAATACAATTTATAACCAAGTACTGTATTTATCCGCAGCAGTAGAAAAATATTGTTATCAAGGTTAGTGTTTCTTGTACAGGAAGGAAGAAAACTGCTTAAAGATGGATGCCAAAGCTTCCTTTACGAATCATTTTTAGTGCAGTTAGACGAATAAGAAGAGTCGGTAGTATGATGTCACGAGATTCCGAAAATCGCACATTTGGAGATATTTCAAGTTGATCCTCTTCACGTCTGAAAACTAAAAGCTATAGTTGCAGAATTACAAAATTTGCTTTGTACGTTCACGCGCATTGCTGTTGCATAGCATCAAAGGTTATAATATAATACCGAGTATTTCAGGCCAAAATGCGTTTTAATTTTTGGCTTTAATAACACGTCTTACTTTTAATAAGCATCACATACAAGTACATACGGGGTACTAAAACAAAATTCATAACAAATTTCATTGACAAAATTTATTTTTGTCTTTCTTGTTCATTTGTACGAGATGCATAAGCGTTGAGCACTTGGTTTATAGTGAACAATATTCAATTTTGTACATGTACATACGAGCACAGGGTACATGTACTGTATTGTACAAAATTCTGTAGTATACACTCATCGTAATTATAAATTATAAAGAATGAAGTCTCGTCTATCAGAATGTGGTACTATCATTTAATTAAAAAGTTTGCTAACGCTAAAAATCATTTTTTGTCATGGGCATCGAGGGGAGAAACGCTGTTCAACAGAGGGAAAACGACTACAAAGCACTGTTTTAGGACATTCCGAGTTATATTGTAACAGTAGCCGATCTGGCTGCTGTTCTAGTGGGTTGGCGTGTTGACCGTACCACGATGTTGTGTGGGCTGTTGGGATGAAAGGTTGGCACGACCGGCAACGGTGTGGTCGGGGACGCTCTTACTGACTTAACGACGTAACAAACGTAACAACGGAAGTTCACGGCATGTTTAATGACAAGAACAGTGCATGACAAGGAGCAAGGTTTAGGCAAGAGTTTAACAAGCGGAACAAGCTGATCAAGCTGATGCAAGCTGTAGCAAGCTAAGGCAAGAATGAATTCTAGAAATTGTGAAGAAGAACAGCTAGCCGATAAAAGGATAGAAATTCATAACGCAATGATGAATCATAACTGGGTGGTCTTATGGTTGTACAACTTCTATCGCTACAATATACCCCGGACTTTCATGGTCAACATCGAAGAAGGTGATTTAGTTTTTGATATGAAGGTATTGTGCGAGCAATCAAAGCAGTTTAAGCAATATTACGGTAGTTTATTATCCAGTTCGCAACGCAGTACACAAATATAGACAACAAAAACACGTAAGGCTACACCGGAAAACTTTTGCAAGTAAATGTCGTGCAGCCGTCCGGGCGACGCTCAGTTGTGTGAGAGGCGCCGCGCGGCTCCAGTTTCTCGGTACAGGAGCAGATACCAGACCTATGCAGAAGATGCCGTTTAACCCGCCGTGACGCGGATGCGATTCAAAGCCCTTGATGCCTGTAAGGCTGTAACCATCCACGAGACACTGGACGCAATCGTGGGTTTCACAGATCGCGGCGCCAATGAGACCAATGCTAGTTTTCAGTTCGCCGTCGTCCAATAAGTTGCCGATGTGAGCGAACGGTGGTGTATTCAACCGGATACCGGCTTCTGGCTTATTCAGAGCAAGCAAGCGCGCTGTATTGACCTCGTTTCCTTGAAACAACTCCAGCAGGATAGATTAGCATATAACTCACTGTACGAAAAGTTGCCAAGTTGACTCAACGATGCGATGCAGTTATTCATTTGACCAACTGCTGTTTTCTGTACATGGTACATTCGTCCACCGTTGTTCTTTCATTCGCTTTACTCAGCGTACCAGCTGCCGATACTCTGTACTTATCATAGCGCAACAAAATACGTTAGACTTTTGAACGCGTTTTGTAAGAAATTCAACTATTAACTGAACAACAAATGTACGTATTATCAAAAATTATTTATTGCATCAAACACTTTATACTGAGCTAGTTCCGCAATATCATTTTCGTTATTACGAAAGCTGCAGGAGTTGCCCACTTGCCCGTGACGCTTCGTTCAAAGTTGCGAGGCAGTGTCGTGCGAACGGATCGTGCCGATGATAAGTACTGTCTCGCTTCACATTCAGCTTGGATCACTTCCGTCAACCAGTGTTTCTCTGCAAAGTACTGGCGAATACGAAGTCAGCGGGAGATATGTACCGTAATCCTGTAAACGACAGCTTCTCGTAGCAACCATTCATGCAGCTTTGTACTGTACTGAGAACTGCTACAAATAGGATAACGTCTTACCCCGAAAGAGCATATTAATAATTTGTTTGTGCATTATTACTTGAAAGAGAATGTAATAATGCTGAAGTGTTTGTTGATCTTACTAAACACACGGCTGCGGGCAGCGGTACTGATAATCATTACAGTATCTAATTATCTTGTTGTAGGTGATATTTTTCCCGGCAAGGACTCAGAGCGGATAACACTGAATGACAATCAGCCTTTTATTCTTAAATCGTTTCAGTACCCAGCAAAGTTCCCTGATGACACGAAGTATGTTTATGCTATCGATGCATCCGGTCTGGCCATTAAGGTAAAAAGCAGTTGTAAACTAACACGAGTACATGGCTATTACATGGTACAGCTTAAGAAGATGCAAAGGAAGAAAACAATAAAACACAGGAAAAACATTATAAAAGATAAGAAAAACATAAGAAAACAAGAAGACAAGAAACCATAAGAAGGGTGTAAGCGTTGAGATGTCCCAGTGAGAAGCCCAAGTGAGAAGTCCAAGTCCAAGTTGTAGTGGTCCAAGTCCAAATTAAGTGTAGTCCACGTCCAAATTAAGTCCAATCAAGTCCGAGCTTGAGCGCGAACCCCGGTTGACGTCACCGGCCGGCGTATCGGATAACGTCACCGGTCGCTGCCGTAACAGGATATTTATTTTTGCGTTTTGGTAAGTTTAAAGACCTTCGCTTCGCTCCGGTCGATTACAGAGCCACAAGACCTTAGAGCCGAGTTCTAACATCGGATTGCGACGGCTTTTTTCAGTACTAAGGTAAAAGGAAGGACTTTGATTCTGTTAATAATTTATAAAATTAACTGCCAACGGCTAAAAAGTGCCTTCGTAAAATAACTTTAATTAATGTTTTGCGCGGATACGATCTACTGTAGTTTAAGGTAAAACTTTAGAAATCAAAAAAAGCAATAACTGCTAGACAAGTGAAAAATCCTGCGGAACACGTCACACCCACAAGAAATTCTATGCAATACTATTTCTTATCCAGATTCAGTCAAAGGAATTTCTGTTCGGAGTGCGTTGGCCAAATAGAACCGTACTGGATGGATGCTTGGGACAGCGAATTAATGTGTGGGATGCCAAGGGTACGTATGGTCATTGATGCTCTCGTTAGTTTGTCCTGAATAGCCTATTTGCAGTTCCAACATCACCGATTGCGTATGCTTGTGGTGAAGAACGAGTGGATATTCTGTCGTATAGCGATTCTATTGTAAGCACTTTCTGTAAATACGAGTAATTAGCAGTAGGGGTTACGCACTTTCGTGAATGGATCCATACTTTTGCCATAATCAGGTTTTTTGCATAAAACATCTTCTTTTAACGATAAGATTGAATACCTACTTCGCTTTTTCCCATATTCCGGTCACTTTGAGTGGGTTTCATATTCCGGTCACCAGGTAGTTAAATTTCCTGACAACACGAAGTTCACAGAATCATTAATTTTTATTATTTTAATTTTAGAAAACGACTTCTCTCATTAAATTCGAACGTAAACATCAATAAATTTTTATGAGAAACAAAACAATAACAGAAACTCTGAATCGGATGAGGCGCAAAACACTGGGCCTTTCCGTCTATAAACTTCTACTTCTGCAAACGAAATTTAATGGACCCCTAAAAAGTATGCGGGTGGAGAGGGCTTGCTCAGTGAACTGCACGGGCGGCTAAAGCTAGTGCGATCAACAGATAACACTCACAACAGCTATTCATGTAGTGCGCCACATGTGCGGTCCGCAGCAGTGACCGGTGACCGGAATATGAAACCATACACTCAAAGTGACCGGAATATGAGAAAAAGCAAAGTACTGAAAAAATGCACATCGGTGTGTGCGTTGGCAGACCGGAGCGTGTGAATTATTTCACAGACTGAAGTGTGTAAATTATTTTACTTAGGCAAAGAGTAATGTTGCCGGAAGTGCTGCAATCTAAAATGAATTTCGAGTATTCGAATTTCAAGAAACCGACCATTTGAATTCCGAGTACTGTAATTGTAATTGCCGTCATTCCAATTACGAGTACTCGGAATTCAAAATGCCATTGTTTTATTTGCGAGCACTCGAAATTCAAATTTGTATATTTGAATTCCGATTATTTGGAACTCAAATACAGACCATTGAAATTTCGGATACTCGGAATTCAAAATGTGTGTTTTTAAATTCCGAGTACAGTCGCTGCAGATTTGGTTAATTACCGTGTATTAATAAAATAAAAAGCGTATGAAATATGGATAGATATACAGATACAAAAACATTGTTTTGAAATCTGTTGTATGTGTGTACTGTGTAGCTGTGTACACATTCTGTAGGAAGTCAGTACTTATAGTCAATAGTCACTGACTATTAGTCAGTGACTAATTGTTGTTGTTGAGCCCGTTAACTGATAAGACGGATGCACAAGACAGAGAAACGCGGTGTATGTGTTGTGGCTGTGGAGAATCGTGACAAATCTAAAAATAGATTTACGTGCTCGGACAAAGCACGCTTAAATATTATTGCTGCACACGAGCTCATGAGTTGTATGAAATGGTTAAATTCGGTTATCTTTTCACAGACGTTGGTCCAGTTGTGTGGTTTTCTTGATAAAAATGAAGTAAAGTAGCGCATTCCAAAACTTTCACAGTGCCGTAAACATGGGGTAAATTTGTTTTCCAATGAGTACTTCTAATACTATATTCATAATGGCGTCGGCATCGCAAGAGAGCGGAGGTGGCAGTGAGCCGCTGCGCGGCAGAAAGAAACCAATCTTCCTCTGTTTGGAATTATTTTACTTTCGACGCATCCGAAAAACGGGCTGTTTGCAAAGCTGAGGGATGCAAGTTTGCCCAGACTGGCCGTATAACGAGTAACCTGCGGACTCACCTTTCTCGAAAGCACCTGGAACTGTTCAACGCCTTGTTGGAAGAAGAGGAGAAAAAGGACAGCGCGACGGGAAAAAAGACTTCCACTGCAAAACGTGTGTCGAAGTGGAGCAACGACGCGGAAAGCCAGGCGAGCGCAACCAACGCACTAGCGGCCTTTATCGCATGCACTCCAACGTCTGTGAATGCAGTACAGCATCGGATGTTCAACACATTTTGCGCTAGGCTGAGAGCAGACTATGTGGTTCCTGGACGTACAAAGATAACTGACACAATGGACGAACTCTACTCCTTGATGAAAGAAAAAGTGGGAAGTGCCTTGCAAAATGGCGGGTAAGATACGTGTATATGGTACAATAAAATGTGAATGTACAAGCTCGTCCCGTAATTCCTACGTAAACAGAGTAACAAACACCACAAATTTAGCGCGGAGTTTGCGCTTTGTCTCTTTCAGCTACACTTCGTCTACCAAGTACCAATGTGAAGTAATTTAGATTTAGCTTTTACGGTAATTATGAAGAAGCGATGCTATTAACTGAATAATATTGTAATTGTAATAGGAAAAATGCACACTGGCGTGCATTGGCAGACCGGAGCGCAGCAGCTGTTCGCCTCATTACTTGATCTGGCACAGTACTTTATGTACTATATGTATTGACAGTATAATTGTATACGTAGAATAACATATGTACTTGTATTTGCAAAATGACCTACCAGTAATAACCTGAGGATAGTGCCAATTTTCTCGAAATCTGAGCCTTACATCACTCTCGTATTTTAATAATTTTTTTGTTTTCCGGTAACTATTACCAATTTTGTGTGCAAACCATGTAAATTAAGTGTTTGAAAAAGTTCCGTGACGTTTGCGGGCGCACATCTAAGATGCCGCCCATCGCGCATCTGAGATACCGATCTTCACTTCGAAATTGAGCGCTGGCCTGCCAGTACGGCAGATCCGTAAACGATAAAAGAAAAGTTTTTTTTCACTGTAATTTTCGATGCACACACGGCGCCGACGGTTTAAGATTATTTTCAATAAATTTCGAGTGTAGAAAACCTTGAATTGCGATTTTTATGATTTGTAGAAACAAACACAAAAAGCATGCCGTAACATAAAAAGTGTGCCGTTCAGTGCTCTGTAGAAAGTTGACTTAACTTCAGCTCTCACTGAATTCAGATATGATCTGCAACCTTTTTAACCGTGCGATGCAGCCTATCCGCGATCAGCGTTATAGAAGATCGGTATCTCAGATGCGGGATGGGCAGCATCTTAGATGTGCGCGCGCAAACGTCGCTGAAAGTTTTCCCATACATACTTTACATGGCTAGTACACGAAACTGGGTACAGTTACAGAAAAACAAATAATTATTGTGGTGCATGTGGTTTTCTCCTTCTTTCATCTAGGATAATAATACTTGACACGATCTTACTATGTTCACACCTTTAAATTTTGAAGGTCAACTGAAATTATTAAAGCAAAGCAGATACCAGCGTGAGTGCGCTCAATATCACTGTAGTATCATTAATATTATAAAACAAGTTGCGTTTGTTCTGAATCCCAGCGTCTCCCTGCGTTCGGTGCAAAATTTATTACACATAAGTAAGTTCTGCACGTTACTTGACAGCGCTCAGTCACCACCTCCCCCCTCCGAAAAATCTCATTTTTTGTTTGAAGACAAAATAGGTATGGGGTACACTTAGAAAATACTTTCATCGGCAATGGTCCAATGGGCGTGGCCAACACGAATTTAATGGTTGACATTATTGCATGTAATTGTATTGCCATTGTCGTATTGCTGTTATCAGATTACACTGATAAATTTACTTTGCGAGTTCTGTGGTATCCATTACTACTGTGGTTTTACTCCTTCATTTGATTTTACTTCCTAATTCACTCTTTTGAAAAAGTAACATTTTTAAAGACTTTCACCACGTATCACGCTCTAAAATGCATGGATTGGCAGCACACGGTCTATTCGGGTTTCAGTACAGTCCCCGTTGGTGAGTTCTCTAACAATTTACTCTTTCAATACAGTGAATTAGGAACTAAAATCGATTCAAGGAGTAAAACTACAGTGGTAATAGATAACACAGAACTCCCGAAATAAATTTATCAGTGTAATTTTTAACACTATAATTATGTACAGCAAGTAATACGGCATTGGCAATACATGCAATAATGTCAACCATTATATTCGTGTTTGGCGACGCCCACTGGACCGTTGCCGATGAAAGTATTTTTTTAAGTGTTCCCCATACGTTAAGTGTTCCCATGTCTTCAAACAAAAAACGAAATTTTTCTGAGGGGGAAGGTGGTGACCGAGCCTGGTTAGTACTTACCTAATTTTTTGAAATCAGTTAATTTTATGCAGCGCAGCGATTTTAAACCTACAGATATGAAACTAAAACTACGGAGTACGGAAGTAGCTGGTAATAAATTAAGGCATTACAATATTACATAACGATTATATGATGGATGGATTACCACAAGTGCAGCCATTTATGCAATAATAAAGGACTGTAACTAGTGGCTACAAGTTACCATCATAATCACATATCCTTTTCCGCATTTTGTAGATTGATTACAATTTGCGCCGACATATGGACAAAGAAAGGGATGACTGAATCATTTTTGGGTGTAACTGCCCACTTCTTGTCTCCGGAGTGGGAACACAAAGCAGTAACACTGGCAGTGCGTTCCTTGCGCCGACCCCACACAGCTGTGCGGATTAAAGAAATGGTCTACAAAATAACAGACGAATGGAAAATTCCCCGAGATCGATTTTTCGTTATTGTCACGGACAATGGTACGAATATGACTGCGGGATTTAAGGAAGTATCGTTGGACCTTTTTGACGAGGAGAACTTCGAAGCCGTTGCTGAGGCAAATGAGGAATGCGAAGCGCTAGCTACCACAGCAGTCCTGAATGGTATTTTATTATATTTAACAATAGTGCCGATTTTAACAGGAAAATGATACTTTTAAAAAGTGATAACTACAACAATATTTCTGCAATATTATTGCATCTTAAACGTCTTAATACTGAACTTTCAAAACATTTGCATCATACAACTGCATCATGTCTGTATGTAGTGAATCGATTATGAGTGACAATTTCTGTTTAGCGTCCATGGACGAGGAAGCTTTAAGCGAATCAGTAGAGCAGGCGGAGCTTACCAGCGGCGACACACTTACACCTGTTGATCCTGATGCAGTTATCCGAGAAGAGATGCAGAATTATGACGAGGCAGAGGCAGATCACGACCGTACCTTTGCCGAGTTTCAAAGAATCCCCTGCTTCAATCATCTCCTTCAGTGCGCCGTCCGGTCATTTGACACAGTGAAGGAGTGCCGCGACATCATTAAGAAAGCGAAAAAACTTGTTTCCAAGTTTAACCATTCCAATACAGCAACGGCGGCCCTGATAGACCGATCAGGCAAAAAACTGGTTGGAGATGTGGAGACCCGATGGAACTCTACTTACATCATGTTGAAAAGGTGACCAACAAATCATGATAAAATTTTTGAAGTGTTCGATAATGGGTTTACAAAAATTTCATTAAATTTCATTGAAGGTTTAGATTTACTACTACTGTAGCTGCTAAATGAAGTGGCACTACAGAGTGCAGTGTACGGAAAATGACGCACATGTTGCTCAGTGTTCTACTTAATTCGTGCGATGCCGGCAAGGAGCACGCAGCGTTCGGATGTAAAAGTGGTGCTAATGCCTATAGTAGCTACAGTACATGAATGTGATTAATCTCTAAATTCGTTTAGATTTACCAAACAATTTCCAGTAAATTACATCGCCCAAAAATTGGGTAACAAGACAATATCTGAATTATGTTTTTAGGCTGTGCGAGCTGAAAGATGACGTTGACAATGTGTGTGAACAGAACGGTTGGGATTCACTTCTTGCTCACGAGTGGTCGGCCATTGACGCGTTACGGAAGTTTTTGGAACCTTTCGATACCTATACCACAATTTCCAGTGGACAAGATTATACAACGAACGACATGTACGTCGCTATCTTGTTGGAACTGGATAAACACTGTCGCACAGCCCTTCAGTCTCGAAGATCAATGGTATCAGCCGCAGCACACGTTGTACTTGCTGCTGTTGACCAGCGATTTGCACGATTTTTGGACCCTCAAAATGTGAAGCATAACCCATTTTATTTGGCTGGCTGTTTTTTGCATCCATTCTTGTGGAGGCTGATGACAAACGAACAAGTGGATTCAGCAGTGAAATTTGTCAAGGCGACGTACGGTAAATATTTTCCTTCCGCACCTGCGCCTGGTCCTTCGTCAGACGAGCAGCAGCCCAGTCCTAAGCGAGCGCGATTCACCAACCTCTCAGACAAACTGGGCAATTTGAGAACACACATGGCTGCGGAAAGGTCAAGGTCAACGTTGGAAAACGAAATTGGGCGGTACAAAGCCGCCAGTTATCCGGAATTTACTGAACAGAGCGATGCTGTACGATTTTGGAAGTCGTCACATGGCAAAAGTTTCGAAAAGCTGTCGAAAATTGCTGCTGCCGTTTTAGGTGGGGAAAGATATAAAGGCCAACGCTGCGTATTGGGGAAGACACCAGCGTTAGCTGCATGCACGGGTGTCCGCTCGCGGTTTGGCTGGGCGCACAGATTTCGGGAACTGGCGTTTTTCTGCATGCACGAAATTCGGGCGCTTTTGAATGTTACTTTGCAATCTTTAATTTTATAAATTTTTTAAGCACTTTTTTTGATTTGTTATTTTTCGGCTTTTGGGATAAATGTTTTAGTATGCCACAATCAGTGGCATGCGCAGGACGGAAAGGTTAAATTTTCGGGCATATATAGTGATAGTATCAAAAGCACTTAAACGGCCATTTTGAAAAGATTTCTTTTAATTGCTTAAGGAATTACAGCTCACAATAATTATTTGGGCATCCGTAAACCGACTTTAAAATTAATTAAAACTTATCTGAAGTGCTTTCTGTATTGTTTAAAATTTTCGGAAAAACTGGCCGGGCACGCACCAAGCACCCGTGCAGGAAATCCCGTATCGACAGCCAACACCCGTGCGGACTCTAATGGTCCAAATTCACAAATTTTTGAAATTAACAAATTTCTCGAAATGCAGGTGGAGTTGCTACCAGCACATCAACAGAACAGCTGTTCTCAGTTTCTGGTTTCCAGACTGTTGGGCGCAGAAATAGACTAGGCGGGCATCGACTGGAAGTGGAAACGCTACTGAACAAAAACTTGCCTTTTTACGAAGATTTTGTGTAAAGTTCGGTTTTCAGCTTAACACCATTCAGGCGTCACCTAGTTTTACCCGGCAGCCTAAGTAGCTCACGGTTCTAGGATGAAAATGCCTGTACTTGTGTTTTTACTTTGTTGTATAATTGTTAGTTAGCGTTGAGTTATAACGATAAAAGTCTGCAGGATTCGTTGCGGTTTTCGACTTTTCGTGCTAAAGTTACCTTTAAGAAAGCAACACTAGAACATTACAATCATAGTCAAAATTGTCAATAATGGCAGTATTTTGTTACTACAGTAGTGACAGTACGTAGATCGCTCAGCTACAGATTACAGACCACAACTACAGTTAGAGTCTACAGTAAATACACTAGACTACAGAGTACAGTGCAACGCTGCTGTATAAGCTATGATTTGTGTGCTAAGTGTTAGTTTGGTCGCGCTAAAACAAATTGTCGTACCGTCGTCGTAAATTATTCTTATAATTGGAATTCATGAACAGCCAAGTTTGAATTGCGAGCACTTGCATTTGTTATCACCGTGATTTAGATTCGAATAACTGAAATTTAATTAGCGGTATTTTGAAATCCGAGTAATCGAAATTCATATAAGCGTATTTTGGGTTACAAATATTGTAATCGGAATTCTATGCAATTTTATTTAGAGTACTCGGAATTGGATATACGTGAATTTGAATTCCGAGTACTCGGAATTGGTATCGAAATTCTTTCGCGTGCAATTTCGAGCACTTGCGGCAACACTAATTTACACAAGTTTAAGAGCCACCAAAAGGGCGGAAGCCGTAAACAATAGCGCGCGGCTTCTTTGAAGTTCAAAAAAAGCGTCGGATATTCTGCGCACCCGGACTTATTTGTGGCTCTTAAACTTAGCTAAATACAGTACGTATCGAGTATCAAGTTAAAGGTGCCAAAATCATTTTGCGATTAGCACCGTCCGACATAGGCCATGCACTCGCACGACAATCTCAATACCACCGTGAACGTTTAGGATCGATCAACGCATGCGCTGCAGACGAGTAGTAAATCCGTAATAGCAGAAGATGGTCTCTTTGTCGATCTGTTCTGTCCGAATCGGCGACGTGAATTTGCACCGCTCGCGTGAATTTGCATTTGCACCCGCGTCCTACGTATATACGATCTGGGCCGGTTTCGACTGCATTCTGGGATGCTTTGGAGTGGCACTACCCGTGTTAAAATTTAGGACTAAAATTTAATGGTCGCGCGCGCTCATATCCACATTCCGTACGCATGCAGTGAAGCACTGTACTACTAATTGGTACTGAAATATCCGGCTGTCGTTTTAGTGCACAGCACGCGACGATTTAGTTCTAAATGGTACCAACTGATCAGCAGCAGTACTGTCGTCTGCAAGGTAAAACAGGCAGTGACCCTTGATTCATCCTATTTATGACTTTTGAAAACTGCGTTCTGAAATCTTCCATTGCAGGTACTTTGGGAGGCGCATCAGGATGTTCCGCGTCTGTCATCGCATTACCGCGCGAAGAAATAGGAGCGTGGGCGCAAACGGCTTGCAAGATCTGCAATGGAAGAAGCTGTCGCGGATTACTCGGCATTTGTTCGTTAAACTACAAAACTGGAAGGAACTGCAACGGATAATGGATTTTGATTCGGGCGTGAACAGTTCGAGTCCTAGCAGTCGCCCTTGCTCAGTATGCCAGGCCGTAGTGAACGCTGTCGCTGTTTTCTCAGGTTTTGTAGTTAAATTACTGTATCGTTTAGATTTGGTTGACTTCCATCTCTTTACTGATACTGTAGACGAAATTGCAGTTCTCCTCTCTGATCTTCGTTTCGTTTCTCTACAAATTTCTGACCCGACACATTGCCGACTTGTAAATTCGCTATCAGAGGTTATCAAATTGCAGTTTCTGAACGAAACCGTTGCCGAACTTGCCGTTATATTCCGTGCCCTTTTTCTGGAAACTGTTAGTTTCAGATGGAAAAAAGAAACAGAAAACTAATAATCTTATTAATCTCGATAATTACATAATTTATCTTTACGAAAAGTTGATAAATCCATAAGCTAGATTCGCTATGTTAAGAAGACGTAGGTAGTGTATCAACTTAAAAAATTTGGGTATTCGCAACATGTTACACAAATTTAAAAGAAACTTGATTTTATAAGGAAAACCCAGTATAAAGCATATCCTACACCTTCGTACCCAAATAACAGGTCCATTGTGCACAGGGCGATTATTGAATTATCAAAAACACTAGGAGAAAAGTGAATCAGATAGGATCTGAGAGAAAAGCAAAACATGTAATTCCAAACAATTTTATACGAGTAAGAAGCAAGCCTGACAAAACACATCCTAGCGCCTATTGCTAAAATTATCCAAGAATGCGCATTGTGCATGTCATCGCACAGTGCAACCTCCCTTCCGAGCCGTCTTCTTCTGAACCTCAACGAGAAAGTGTAGGATAATGCGAGACAATTTCTCCCTGCAAATCTCCCAGACCATCGACACCAGTTTTCCTGCGGCAATGCGCTGACGGACGAGGATCGCACGACTGTACCGCACATAATCTGTAGACCAAAATGTCTGCTGAGTAATTTCTAAGTCGTTGCAGAACGAGTTTTAGTAAATTGCAGCTAGCATTTGTACCTTGCAGACAACTACTATAAGGTTTTCCTCATCCCTTCCGTGCGGTTGCAACCGCTGCTGCAGCCGCTGGAGCTTCTGCGCACTCGGAATCGGCAGAGCTGACTCCAGCGCATCCCACAACGTGCTGCCGAAATCACCGCCTATCTGTAATTGCGCGGTGCATGTCGATTTTAATCTCCGCGTCAAACTTATCGTTGACCACCGATAATCCGATTTCATGTGAGCTGTACACCAATGAAACCGGACAATCGCGAAGTAGATGCGTCGCACGGAAGACTGCGGCATCCGGCAATGAATTCCTTCATCCAAAGATAGTAACCCTTGTATTCTAAAATGCACTCTGCACTTGGCTGGCCTGCGAATAAAATCGAGATGGCGGCCTGCACCGGCCGTGTACGCACTAGTGACATCGCCGTAAATCATTAGTTGCAGTTTGACGCAGCGCAAATGAACGCTAGGTAGTCGAATTCAGGTTTGATCAGCAACATACTGCATATTATGTCGCCTACCATCATCACGCCATCCGCCGACGTCCAGGTTCGGTCATTGAGGCTCGTTATGGCAACGCGTTCCGTGCCTGGGCGTAAGCGTTTGTGCACAGTCGCCAAGCTGAGACAATCATCGTAATCTCTTTGGGTGTAATCGTCATTGCGGATGACCATCGTGGAACGCAGCGCTGCCGCATCCATAATGTGGTTCCATTTCGCACACACAGTCCGCATCTTCGTCTCCGCCATGGTTGGCAAGTGGAAAAGACCGTCTGCCACAGTTCCGCCGGCAGTGCTATCCGTCGCCAGCTACCGGAGCCTGTTCTTTAGATATTTGACAATGCCGACCAACTTTTCATGGAAGCGGTCAATATCTCCTGAAAACCGTTCAAAACCTGCTACAAAAAACGGTTGACGTAACGGAGCTTCTCGTACCTGCAACTGTGCTGTGTGTCTTTGATCAGAAATCTCTTTAGCACTGAGCTGGTAAACATATTTCAAATTTTCAACTTCCGTCATCGAGGTTCACCACGAAAACAGGCGAGTAGAAGTTGAGATCGCAGCTCTTCAATCGTTAACGATTGAAGAGCTGCGATCTCACGTTAAACGTTTAACGAGCGCTTTGGTTTCTTCCGTGGTCAACGAGCGGAATTCTTTACCTACATCCACATTACGCGTGACAAATGCGCCCGATAAATTCCTCTGCTGGATGCGGGCATGAAGCAAAGGATGCACTTCGAGGTCAGCAGCCGAACCCTGCCCGTTGGTGTTTTCCGCATCCAGCGCTTTATGCTGCTCAGTCAGCCGCAGATAAACAGGCAGATCGCAAGGCTGTCGAATGCGTTTCGTGGGAACGATGTCGGAGCAGTGCAGTCCCGTGTGCGAACTCCGCCAGCGAACAACGGCCCCTCCGCACACTTCATGAGGCCAGCTTTGTCGTGCATAGCGTAGGTAACCATGCACCCAAATCCAGGGATCCGGGCGTCTCCGCACCAAAACCTCCACCGCGACGAAGGCTAGGTTGTAGCATGAAAAATCCTCGCTTCTTTCCGATTTGGACGGGGGGAGGGAGGGGGAGGGGAAACGCTGCCGAAAGCACAAATTCACGTTCTCGATTCGGACATAGAAAGAGACCATCGTTCGCCACGTCCACTACTTTCCGTAGCGCATCCGCTGATCGCCGCAGAACGTATACAGCGTTATCGTGCTTCGTAGTGCTCAGCATAGTTGGCGATTTTAGGCAACAATTTTGAAAGCGTAGTTCTGCTATTGAGGACGAGCACAACGGGCTGCAATGCACACGGATAAAATCTGTCAAAGTCGAAACGAATAATACGTACAACGGTACAAGGAAATTTGCTGCGTAAATAAGATCTTCACTGTACACCGTATGGTCCGTATCGTAGAGCAATGATTAATGTAGAGCAACAACAAAGCAGAAGCGGAACGACGTGGTCATTGGTCATAATACAGTACTAGTTTATGACGCTGGCCACTTTTGACCTGTATTTCATAGCGGCCAATGGGGATAGACCCGCTGAATCGACGCCACCGTAGTACTGCAGATTAAGGAAAACATAAATCATAAAACGGGTTTTAGGAAAGCGTGCTACGCTACTGGTATATGCCTATATGGGCACACACAACTGATACAAGTGATCTAAATATTTCGGAGGAATCTATTGCGACGGTTTAGGTGGTTTCTGTCCGCTTGCGGTAAATCTGCAATAATTTCGTTAAAGAAAATACAGCGGGTAGCTCCCGACTTCCTGCCAGTTACGGCGTTGGCATTCCGATAAGCTTTACATGCAAGCAAAGATGTACAGTACTGCATATGGAAGAACTGGAAGCGTAGAAATTTTCTTGTTGTACTAATACGTACAAGCCAGTCAGGAAGAGAATTCACGGAAGTCCATATATCCGAAATACGTAGTTTAACTGCTAGCTGTGTGGTAGTTATGTTCAGTCAAGAAACGAGCCCACAGCCACGTAAACCGGTTTATCAAGACCAAGAACAACCTCACTCAAGTGAGGCAAGGACTTCATAAGTTGGACGAGCAGATTCAGCGTAACATTTCCTGGGACCGTGAATCAAGAAATAAAATTAAAAAAGTTATTAAAAATTAACAGATAATGTTAGTAACATGTACTTAACAAAGCCAACAAAGATTAAATTTTAACAAAAACATCCGCGAAAAGTTAAATAGATTAATCTCGGAGCACGCACTGCTACAAAGCCTGTACATGGTCCGGCACGAGCGCAACCCAGGAAACAATTCAACAAGGCAAGGCCTTCATCAATAGGTTGAGGAAATGGAGTGACAAACGCGACAGCTTCTCAGGATTCAAACACCGCAGACCGTCCACACACCACTTCTTCCCGCGGTAATGCAGCGAAGGACGCGGATCCGCCGTCTGCGTCGCACACAGTGTCTGCAAAAAACACGCATGCTTCCGTACAGCGTAGTGTTTGATGTATCGGTGACAGTGTTACCTTGCAGATCATAGCAGTGTATTTCTTCCAATCATCTGGCATTGAATTTGGACTTTTAACCAGTTCGTGTTTCGTTTTTTCGAATTTTAACCAGTTGAAGAGACGACGTAACTCCGTATCACCGGGCGCTGACATTCCCGCATCCATGGCACTCCACAGCGCGTAGTCTAAGCGGCCAGTAACGCACTGTCGACTCTTCATAATTTTCACGTCTAGCATCAATCGATCCGTGCATGCCACAGTGATGTTGCATCGGATCAAATGGATATCATCGCACGGAAAATTTCCGCGTGGCACAGTGGAAAGCGGGCAAGGTTGCTGGCGGAAGCAGAAACATGTTGATGATACCGGCATTTAGATTTTGTTGGTGATCATACGGGCTTCCCAGCAGAGACATCTTCAGCCCGACGAGGAAGATAGCTTTCAGCCGGATGTCGGCATTGCGCAGTGTAATGAATTTCAGAATATTCAGCAATTTCGTAATTTCAGTTCCCGTCAAAAATCTTCTCGATCTGCGATGATAATGTGATGCGTGGATGGGGACAGATGCTTGAAGAGAGCTGCGATCATAAAATAGGTCCGTTCAAGATCTTCACAAAGATCCGACGAGATGAGTCCGGCGCTGTCGAGAACAATATGCTCCTCTAATCCAGCGGAATCCAGAATACCGTTCCATTTTGCGCAGACAGTGCGCAGTTTGGTCTGCGTCACCGTGTCAAGGTATGAGAAGACTTCCCTCCACAATTCCGTCGGCAACACAGCGACTTCATCCGATTCTAAAATATGGACTACTGGTTCTGGCATCCGCAAAACGGAACCAAATAACGCGTCGTGAAAACTGCTGAGATTGCCCTGCAAAACCCCATGACTATTGACAACGCACCGTAGCATAACACGTCCTTTACAATTCCTTAGTAAATTGATCAACAGCGTTTTCCACTGCAACAGAGCATCGACGCTGAATGTACACTGCACAGCCGTCCGCAGTGTTCACTGCCTCAGCTTGGGCAGCATACCAATGCTGGTAATTGGATCCACTTTTCTGCTCCTTCAGTGCGGCTGTCACTAAATGTATGGGACAACTTTCCGGCAGTCGTAGTGGGCGCTTGACGAACCTCCCTTTCGCCACGCACTTTGGCAGATTCCCGATTTCGGCCTCGACCGGGGACTGCAGCGCACTGGACTCCTTTTTCCAGCGAATACGCGACACAGGAACCACATCTGCGCACTTCTCAGGTTTTCCTTGCTGAATAACAGCCACGGCGTATTTGGAGTGCGCGATGCCGACTTCTCGACTAACTGCGCGGGAACAGGTAAACGCGCGCGATGCAATGTCGCGCACCAGAACCTCTGCGGGCATTTCAGGCGGAGGATTGGTGCGGGCCCGTCGTTTTGGTCCAGGTATCGGCCGTCATCATTCAGAACACCCCCTCAAAAGGGATGAATTCCCGGCGGCGTCCGAGACAGAAGAAGTCGATGTAAAGCCCGTGGTTCGCCACATCCACCACGCGCCCGTAACGAAACAGGCCGTCCTCGCCCAGCGTCTACAGTGTTCCACGGTCGGTTTCTTCGGATCATTGCCATAATTCTATGATGTGACAATTCAAATCTTCGACGTTTTAAAACAAGCAAAGTGTCAAAGAAGCAATTAGTTTCTGTTTGCGCCCTCAGAAAACTATCAAATTTAATGTTACCGTACAAAACAGAAGTCGTACATGCGGATCTACATTTTTGCAGCGCTGGCAAAATGCAGCGTATGACTGGCAGGATAACGTGATCGCCAACCGGCATGGGCGGTGCGCACTGCGCTACCGGAAAAAATGTGGCTGCCAGAAAGCTTGCAGCTGCAGGCTGGCAACACAGATGTGTGCAGATTTTGGACAGATTTTGTTAAGTGTGCACCCAAGTTGCTTCCTCGTCCTAAGTGGCAAAACACCATTTCCAGTTTTGTACGTGGAAATTGTCAACCATGTGCAGCACTACGAAACGCGATAACGCTGTGTACATTCTGGGCAGCGATCAGCGGATGCGCTACAGGAAAGTAGTGGACGTGGCATACGATGGCCTCTTCGTCGATCTGCTCTGTCCGAATCCTGGTTGTGAATTCGCGCCTTTTGGCAGCATCTTCTCACCCCGTCCAATCAATCGGATGGATATGATGAATTTGTATGACCTACAACAGGCCGTCGTCGCAGTAGGGATTCTGGTGCGGGGAGACGCCAACGGGTCCATGGATAGACGTCAACGGTCCATGGCGGACCCAAATCATTTGAGTGCCTGGTGAAATGTGTCATGCGCTATGAAATTGGCCACACGAAGTATGCTGGGGGGCCGTTGTGCACTGGCAGAGTTCGCCGGCACAGAACGCGTTGGCATAACGTGCCTCAGTGATCAAGCTGGACGTCGGTGGATGGCGCGATGATGGTCGGCGACATGTGCAGTAAGTAGCTGATCCAACCGGAAACACCTGCGTACCGGTTTAGTGCCGCGTCAAACTTCACTTGCTGATTTATGGCGGTCTTGCTTTCGCGTACAGACCTCCTTCAAGCCGTCGTGGCGATTTTGTTAGCACGACAAAGCCTAGTGCAAAATTCAGTTCCGAATACAACTATCTGTGGATAGAGGAATTCTTTGCCGGGTGCGGCATACAGTGCGATGCTATCTAGCTCGAATTGCCTTGCCTCATTGGCCTGCAGCTTATATTTGGAACCGGAGCAATGGCAACTGAGCGAAGTGGCTTGCTGCCGAGATCCATGTCGACATGGACACCGCTCGACTGCCGCCGGTAGATGGGGATTTCATCAGTACATTGAGGGACGCGTTGGAAACGGCACTGCCGATCCCGAGCGTGCAGATCTTCAGAATCTACAGCAGCGGTTGGAGCGCGCGGAAGACAAAGAAAACCTGAAAGCAGCTGACTGCAAGGTACGAATGCCCATTGCAGCTGGAATGTCATTTAAAAGCACGGAGCTAGATTTTGTTCGGTGGATATTATGGGCGATACAGTTCAGTGTTCCGCGTCCGTCGGCCCATTGCCGCAGGAAGAAATAGTACAAGAGCGGCCTGGGAGATTTGCATTTGGAGAAATTGTCGCGCATTACCCCGCACTTTCTCGTTGAAGGGCAGAAGAAAACGGCTCGGAAAGAATTGTTAATTTTAATTTATTGTCTTGTGCAACGGGACACTGTCCCCTCAAGGCATTTGACATTCCAAAAACATAATAAACAACAAAGGTTACACGGAAGATGGTGTATTTGGTAAAGAAGAATCATTAGTACAGTATAATCTATCCACATTAAGTACGGCTAGACAAACAACAGAAATCGTAAAAAGTAAGCACGCGGCTGGGCAAACACAGAAATCATGAAAAGAAAGTACATACAGTGAGCAGAAGATTACGGAAGATCACATCTTGTTGGTTATGTGAGATATTACATATTGGCTTAATGAACTGAGTAAAAAGGAAGGGAAGGGATCGCACTGGTGTCCAGTGTCGATCGATTGTGCCCTATGCGATGACATGCACAATTCTGCTCCAAGGAATGCTCCAAGGCTACAGCGTTGGTCGCTAGGATGTGTTGTCAGGCTTTGCTTCTTACTTTGTATAGGAATTTTTGAATCACATATCTTGCTTTCTCTCAGATCTTGTCCGATTCATTTTTCCTCGTATGTTTTCGTCTGATTCACTAATCGCACCGCCCTGTGCTCGATGTGCTTGTTATTTGGATTTGGAGCAGAGCGATACATTTTGCGCTGTGTTTTCCACTTTTCCTTATAAGAATAAGTTTTTTTTTAAATTAAATCAATTGTTTTGAAAAAATTGCTGTAACACGTTTCGAATGCCCAGACTTTCGAGTTGCTAACTGGCTACAGGCACTACGTTTTGTCAACGTCATGTGATACGAATTTATGAACTTTAGTAAGATATTATTATTTATTGCGTGTTTTAGCCATTTGAAACTAACAGATTCCGGATGAAGTGCACGTAATATATAAGCAACGGTTTAGCAATGTGATAAAAGTCTGCAAAGTTTGAAAAAGTTTATTGGTCAAACATTCGTAAAGAAGCGTAACGAAGGCCAGAGAGTTTACGTGCCGACAATAAAGAACGGTTTCAAAATGGTCGGAAAATGATAAAATGAACTTCGGAGCGCAACAGAATACTGAACCTCTCCAAAAGTCTATCTTACTGTAATTCGTCATACTCAACAACCGGAAGTTGCGGGCACAAATGGTTTGTGAAGCGTAGTGTATACAAAGTAACAAATTTTCGCGTTTGCGGAAACAATCAGAAACGGGGAAAAAACAGTCCAGCACCGCCCGGCAGACTGACGATATCAGCGGGACACCATGTCCACGCACCGGAAGGGCTGTTCCGCTGCAGTACTCCCACGGGAACCGACGAAGATGTTTCGGCATAGGCTTTGGCGAGATGTCCTGCGTCTAAAGGTGGTATCGTGCTGCGGCGGAATACGGTGTCGAACGGGATGAATTCGCGGCGCTGATCGCGATGGAAGAAATCGATAAAGAGCCCATTGTCCGTTAGTTCCACGACGCGTCCGTTACGTAACTGGTGGTCATCGGTGAGAACAGCAGTGTAAATACACTGCGGGATGATCGGATTCCGCTGTACATGGTCGATTAAGGTGCAAGACAGGTTTTTTGATGCCGAAGTTTAATGTACAGAATAATGACATGACACTGTAGCTAGACGTACAATGTATTCAATGCCCGTCTCTAAACGAATCAAAGCCTTACAATTGTGATGAATAAGGAGTAGTCCGCAATGGCTCACGTACAACAGCGCCGACACCTTCGCGTCTAACAATCGAAATTCGTCAAACAAACGACAAAGGCAACATTCCTCGACGTCCCATGACTTTCTACGCTTTACTAGGGCTGTACCACAGTACCAGCGCACGTGCGGAATGCACAAACTAAACTGCCACCTCTGCGATGATATCATGCATTACATCCGGCTGTTTCCAAAGTGTTCACTATGTCAAAAAGTGTAGCGTTTGCCAGATTATGCCGCCAAACGTCTGTCAAAAATCGATTGATATGGGTGCTTAAGCAATGCTTTTCTATTGCGCGAAATCATGCGCGACGGTTGGAACGGAAAGCACGGATGGAAAAATATCGTTCATGAATGTTAAGCGGCGCAAGGACAGTACGAATGGGGCACCGGGATGAAAATTGTTAATATGGCAAAATTATGCTAGCGAAGTCGCTTGAATGGGACGAAAATAGATTTTATATACCCTGTTTCTAATTTCGATTTTCCTGTTTCGATCGATCAGCTGGAGTTTGATTTGCTGTAGTTGTTCTGGCACTGGCAGCGTGCACTTCTGCCCATTGCCAACCTGGTGCTAATGTTTTAAAGGCTATTTGGCTAGGATGATTTCTTAATTGCCACTCTTCAGTACACGTACATACGAGTACAACGTATGTTAATCTTGTGTTGAACTGTGTAGTAATGGCCCCCGTAATAATCTTGTGCAGAACTGTATATGCAGAAACGTAGAAGTTGTTTACCTTTGAAAACGATAGGAGTTTTACGTGACAGACAGTAATATTCTGCATACTGAATCATCGTAATGCAGAATTAATCAGCATGTTACTGGTATAGCGTTTTAATAATTTGGATTTACGTACATTACGTTTAATCGAATACAAAATTAACGACCTGGTACAAAAACACCGCATCCTTTCCTGAAACTTTTCGGGATAAAATCAAAACATTTATTAAAAATTAAAAGATAATGTTAGTAATAAGTTCGTTACTAAGTGAACAATGGGTCAACAAAAAATCCGCGAAAAGTTAAATAAATAAGTCTCGGTCTGGAATGAATCTGGAACCATTAGCGAGACAAGGCGTTCATTAAGTGGATGAGGAAATGCATAGCCAAACGCGACAGTTTCTCCACATTTAAACCCTGCAGACCATCCACGCACCACTTCTTCCCGCGGTAATGTAGCGAGGGACGCGGATCCGCCGTCTGCGTCACACACAGTGTCTGCAAAAAAAGGCACCCATGTTTTCATCGAGCATAACTTTGGATGTGTCGGCGACTCGGTGCAGTGCTACCTTGCAGATCATGGCTGTGTATTCCATCGAACTCCCTCGTAATCCGCCGGTTTGGACTTTTAACCAGTTCGATAAGCGACGAAATTCCGTGAGACTTGGCGCTAACAACCCCGCTTCCATGGCACTCCACAGCGCGTAGTCTAAGCGGCCATTAATGCGCTGTCGACTCTTCATAATTTTCACGTTCAGCTTCCATCCATCCATGCGTGCCACAGTGATGTTGCACCGGATCAAATGGATTTCATCACACCGAAGATTCCCGCGTGGGAGGCTGGAAAGCGGGCAAGGATTGCTGGCGTATGCAGAAAGATTCTTGTGATAACGGCACTGAGTTCCTTGTTTGCCCTTATCCTGGCTTCTCAGCAGAGATATCTTCAGTCCGACGAGGAAGATGGCTTTCAGTCGGATGCCGGCATTACGCAGTGCGATGAAATTCAGAATATCCAGCACTTTGAAAATGTCAATATTTGTCAACCACTCTCCTCGATTTGCGATGATAATATGGTGCGTGGATGGGGAAAGACGCTTGAAGAGAGCTGCGATCATAAAATATGTCTGACCAAGTTCGCACAGATCCGAAAAGGAGAGTGCCGCGCCGTCGACGACAATATTCGCCTTCAAAAAATCAGAATCCAGAAGAGCGTTCCATTTTGCGCCCACAGTGCGCAGTTTGCTCTGCGTCACAGTGTCCAGATAGGAGAAGACCTCCGTCCACAATTCCGTCGGCAACACAGCAACTTCATCCACTGCTAAAATCGGGGCTAACGGTTCCGAGATTTGTGAAACAGTATCAATCAACGCCCTGTGAAGCTTGTTAAGATTTTCCTGCAAAATTGCATGAAGAAACATCGGCACTGGCTTGAGACCATTAAGATAGCATGTCCTTGCTTACCAATTCCTTAGTCAAATAAATATCGTCGGATTCTACTCCAGCACCGCACCGACGCTGAATATACACCACACATCCGTCCACCATGTCCACACATTCCGCTTGGGCAGCATACCAGCGCTGGTAGTTTGTTCCACTTTTCTGCTCCTTCAGTACTGCTGTAACCAAATGTATGGGACAACTTTCCGGTAGTTGTAGAGCCCGCTTGACGAACGTCCCTTTCGCCACACACTTTGGCAGATTCCCGATTTCGGCATCGATATGGGACTGCTGCGTACTAGACTCCTTTTTCCAGCGGATACGCGACAAAGGAACCACATCTTCGCACTTCTCGGGTTTCCCGTGGTGGATAACAGCTACGGCGTGTTTGGCGCGCCCGATGTCGACTTCTCTCATGACTATCTGCGCGGGGAACCACGTCCAAGCACTCGATGTACTGTCGCGCACCAAAACTTCTGCGAGCAGTTCAGGCGGAGGATTGGTGCGGGCCCGGTCGTTCTTGTCCATGTATCGGCCGTCATCATTCAGGAACACCCCTTGGAAAGGGGTGAATTCTCGTCGGCGACCAGGGCAGAAGAAGTCGATGTAAAGCCCGTGGTCCGCCACATCCACCACGCGTCCGTAACGAAACAGTCCGTCCTCGCCCAACACGTCCACGCTGTTCCACGGTCGGGTTCTTGGGCTCATTGCCACAAATCTGTGGTGTAACAATACAAATCTTCTACGTGGCAAAAGAAGCAAAGTGTTAATGCGTCAAAGAAGCAAAGAATGCTTCTTTCTGCGTTCTCAAAAGCTATCCAACGTTACCGTAGAAAACAGAATTGTGCAATGTGCAGCCGGATTTTGCAGTTTTACCGCACTGGCAAAAATGCAGCATGAGCCATGGAGGCAGCTAAGATAACGTGATCGCCAACCGGTAGGGGCGGTGCGCACTGCGCTACCGGAAAAAGTGCGCTGCTGCCAGAAAGCATACAGCGGCAGACTGGCCGCACATCCTCTTGTTGTATGGCGGTTTTGCTACCAGTTGTTCGTTTGACATGTGTTAATTCTGGACAGATTTGTTTAAGGGCGCACCCAAGTCATTTCCTCGTCCTAAGTAGCAAATTGATTCGGTTCATCATTGATTCGGTTGTCTGGTGAAATGCGTTATGGGCGGCGCAGTTGGCCTCACGAAGTGTGCGGACGGGTCGTTGTTATCCTGATGCAGTCCTGATGCGGAGCTACCGTGCATCGCCATCGTTCCCGCGAAACGCATTCGACAGCCTTTTGATGTGGCAACTTAGCTGCGCTTGCCTGAGCGGTATAAAGCCGCATGAAAAGATAACATACGGTTGGGGTTCCGACAAGCACTCATTACTGAGCGATCTCATCCGTTAGGCGAATTCACTTGACGCGTTTATCGTGCGTAGTGTGGACCTGGGTGAAGAATTCCGCTCGTTGACCACTGAAGAAACCGCGGCTCTCGTTAAACAATTGCAGAGCAACGATCTCGCCTTCGTTTACTAGGTAAGCAGATGTGTGATCACAGCGGCGCAGTTCAGATGGTGGTTAGTGCGAAATGCTTCATTACGGCAAATATCTTTTTTTAAAAGGCGTTGAACGGTTTTCAGGAATGGTGTTTTCATGAGGAATTGCTCAACATCGTGAAGTATGTTCACGATGAACCTCGGACAACTGATGACGGGACGGCGCCCGACGGAACTGTGGCAGGAGGAGATCTTTTCCCACTTGAACACCGTGATGCAGATGAAACTGCGCACTGTGTGCACAACGCGGAACCACATAATGGATGCGCCGGCGCTGAATGGTCATCCACAATGACGATTACAGCGAAAGGGATTACGATGATTTTCTCTACCTGGCGGTTGGGCGACTATATAAACGCTTACGCCCTGGCACGGAACGCGTTGTCACAACGAGCCTCAATGATCAAAGCTGGGTATTGGTGGATGGCGCGATGATGGTGGGCGATTTGATGAAGTATGTAGCTGATCCAACCGGATTTCAGTTGCGTACCGGTTATTTGCGTCGCGTCAAACTTCAGTTACTGATTTACGGCGCTGTCACTTGCGGGTAGAATCCTCATTCAAGCCGCCGCAGCGATTTTATTGGCACGACAAATCCAAGAACAGAGCGCAGTTCCGAATACAGCTATCTGTGGATTGAGGAATTCCTTTCCGGGTGCTGCAGATTGCCGTGTGATGCCATCCACCTCGCGAACTGCCCTGTCTCATTTGCCTACAGCTTTTATATGGAACCGTAGCATTGGCAATTGAGAGCCAAGACTAAGTGGTTTGCTGCAGAGATCCGCACCGCACGATTGTCGGTAGATGGGGATTTTGGTAGCACGTTGGCGGACGCGTTTAGAGCGGCACTGCCGGTCCCGAGCGTGCAGGATCTCTAAAACTACAGCAGCGGCTGGAGCGCGCGGTGAAGAAGAGGTAAACCTGTAAGCAGCTGTCTGCAAGGTACGAATGCCAGTTGCAGTTTGCTAGAATGTTTTGAATGGACGGAAGTCACGGAACCAAGGTTTTGTTCGGCACACGTTATGGGCGGTGCAGTCCTGTGATCCGCGCCTGTCAACCCATTGCCGCTGCAAGAAATGGTGTGTGAACGGTCTTGGTAATTTGCAGTGGGAGAAATTGTCGCGCATGATCCTGCACTTTCTAGTTGCTCGCTGAAGTAGCGAAGAAGAAGAAAAGCTTGGAAAGGATGGTGCCCATGTGATGTGATGCACAATTCTTTATGAGTACCACCGACCACGGATATTTTGCTGCTATTTTAGGCGTTTTTGTATAGAAGTGTAAGAAATTAAATGTTTTGCCTTTTCTTGTCATGTTTTCTGATTCACGCTTGCTGTTGTATTTTTGTTTAATTGGCTGTTCGGTACACAGTAAGCCTGCTACTGTAGTTGTATACGAATTACGAAGCTGCACGATACACTGCTAGAGTTCTGTTATAAAAATAAAATATTATCCATAAAATTCGCATTAAAATTCCCCAGCAGTACAATTCCATTTGTTCAAATTTGTTCAACAGCTGGTGTCGCGACAGTCAGCGGTGCGAATGCATGCCTATAGTCGGCACGCGAGTGTAGTGAGTGTGTACTGTACAGACAGTACAGTGTATACTGTATACGTATTTAATCGTAAATTCTCAAAATTAAATGGTTCACTGCTCAGTGGCTTATCTGGTTTCGAATCGTATACATCGGTTTGCATTGTTTGTACAATATGAAAGGAAACCGTCCGCGGTCTTTTGTACTGAAGTTCTGGTTAATAAAGTGGTCTTTTGGCTGTGTCTGCAACAAGAACACTCTGTTTCCGCTGTCGTTTCCCCGTTTTCTGACGTATTAATTTGCTTCCGGTACATGACTGACTGTACAACCACATTCGCATGGAAGCACATTAGAATTTCAACGAAAGTATTAACAGCAGTTCTCAGAAACATAATATTTTCCGTTTAAAGTTCGTTCCGTATGATCACGAAGTTTCAAGTCAGTCGTCTTGCACATGGATGCTTGAAAGCAGACATAGCGTCCGTTAACATAAACAGTACATACAGCATACATGAGAAGTCGGTAAGGTAACAAATCAACCGGGTCCGGAAGTACCAGTAAAACAGATGGAAGTTGCATCTGTTGCTTTCGTGAGTACGATTTATTTATTTAGATTTCCACCGTGCTGATCAGCTGAGAGAATCAAGTACTGCAGTCTTGTTCAACATCTCTGGGTTATTAGGGCAAACTTACACTACAGCGTTGAACAAAAACTTATACAGTATATTGTTTAGATTCCACATGATAATCGTTAAACGGCATTTAACTGGCCAAACCTATATTGCAAAAGAGTTTTTGCTGACATTTTACTTCCATACCAGACAGTTAGAGAGATACGTATAATCGGATACAGAATTAACGACCTGATACATACACGCCGGCATCCATTCCTGAGACCGGGATAAAATCAAAACATTTATTAAAAATTAAAAGATAATATTAGTAATAAGTTCGTAACAAATAGAACAATGAGTTAACAAAAAAATCCGCGAAAGGATAACTACATAAATCTCGGTCTGGCATGAATCTGGAACTATTAGCAAGGCAAGGCCTTCATCAGTAGGTTGAGGAAATGGAGCGACAAACGCGACAGCTTCTCCGGCTTCAAACGCCGCAGACCATCCACACACCACTTCTTCCCGCGGTAATGCAGCGAGGGACGCGGATCCGCCGATTGCAGCGCGCACAGTAACTGCAAAAAAACACGCATGTTTCCGTAAAGAGTATTTCCGTTTTGATGTGTCGGCGCAGTGTTACCTTGCAGATCATGGCTGTGCATTTCGTCCAGTCCGCAATATATGGCACTGAATTTGAACTTCTAACCAGTTCGGGTTTAATTTTTTCGAATTTCAACCAGTTGAACAGGCGACGCAACTCCGTATCGCCTGGCGCTGATAATTCCGCTTCCATGGCACTCCACAGCGCGTCTAATATACGGCCCGTAATGCGCTGTCGACTCTTCATAATTTTCACGTCTAGCACCAATCGATCCGTGCATGCCACAGTGATGTTGCATCGGATCAAATGGATATCATCACACCGAAGATTCCCGCGGGGGAGGCCGGAAAGCGGGGAAGGAATGCTGGCTAGAGCAGAAACATGTTGATGATACCGGCATTCAGATCCTTGTTGGCGCTTATCCGGGCTTCTCAGCAGAGACATCTTCAGTCCGACGAGGAAGATGGCTTTCAGTCGGATGCCGGCATTACGCAGTTTGATGAAATTCAGAATATTCAGCACTTTCGTAATGTCAGGTCCCGTCAAACATTGTCCTCGATCTGCGATGACAATGTGGTGCGTGGACGGGGAAAGACGCTTGAAGAGAGCTGCGATCATAAAATATGTTTCCCAAGATCTTGGCACAGTTCCGACAAGGTGGGTGCCATGCTGTCGAGAACAATATCCGCATTCAATAAAGTGGAATCCAGAACATTGTTCCATTTTGTGCAGACAGTGCGCAGTCTGGTCTGCGTCACAGTGTCCAGGTATGAGAAGACCTCTCTCCACAATTCCGGTGGCAACATGACGCCTTCCTTCATTGCTGAAACCTCGATTAACGGTTCCGAGATTTGTGGAACAATATCAATCAACGCCCTGTGAAGCTTGTTCAGATTTTCCTGCGAAATTGCACGAATAAATGTCGGTGCTGGTAAACATGAACCATAAGACAACCATATCCTCCTTACCAGTTCCTTAGTCAAATGAATATCGTCGGCTTCCATTCCAACATCGCATCGACGCTGAATATACACCACACATCCGTCCTCAATATCCACCCCTTCCGCTTGGGCCGCATACCAGAGCTGGTAGTTCAATCCACGTTTCTGCTCCTGAAGTGCGGCTGAAGCCAAATGTATGGGACAACTTTCCGGTAGCTGTAGAGTGCGCTTGACGAACGTCCCTTTCACCATGCACTTTGGCAGATTCCCGATTTCGGCCTCGACCTGGGACTGCTGCACACTGATCTCCTTTTTCCAGCGGATACGCGACATGGGGACCACATCTGTACAGTTCTCGGGTTGCCCGTGCTGGATTACGGCCACGGCGTATTTGGATTGCGCGATGTCGACTTCTCTCATGACTATCTGCGCGGGGAACCACGTCCAAGCACCCGATGCACTATCGCGAACCAGAACTTCTGCGGGTATTTCAGGCGGAGGATTGGTTCGGGCCCGGTCGTTGTGGTCCAGGTATCGGCCGTCATCATTCAGGAACACCCCTTGGAAAGGGGTGAATTCCCGGCGGCGACCGGGGCAGAAGAAGTCGATGTAGAGCCCGTGGTCCGCCACATTCACCACGCGTCCGTAACGAAACAGGCCATCTTCGCCCAGCACGTCCACGCTGTTCCACGGTCGGGTTCTTGGATTCATGGCGACAAATCCAGGATGTAACGGTACAAATCTTCTACGTTGTGAAAGGAATCACAGTAGCAAAAAGAGCACGTCGCTTCTCTCAGCATAAAAAAAATCTTTCCAATACGATATTAATTTTGCACGCCGCACGAGGCTGCCACGAGCTGACTGGCAAGATAACGTGATTGCCAACCGAGATGGGCGGTTGGTACTGCGCTACCGGAAACAAGCGCGGTTCGTAGGAATAACAGTCGGCAGCCACTGAATTGACTGAAATGAGCATGTTTACGGTAAACAGTTTACCCGATTGCTTTTCACAAAAGTGTAATAAGATTTAATTCTTAGCTAGTGTAAATTGCCAGTGACCATTTACGGCTTCGGGCACAATGGTGATTATTTACCAAAAATATTAAATGCTTCCCACCTTAGGCGTCATTCAAATATTACGTAACGCGATTTATCGTGATTTTTGAGCACCCCCCACCCCTTCTAACACCACATAACAAAATTTTCAACCCCCCAGCTGCAAACGTAACGAAGAGGCCGACCACCCCCCCTATAAAAATACAATTTAAATATATTAATTTTTTTAGTTTTTTTATGGGGTGTCGGCCCGCACGTAACAAAAATTTTTGGACCCCCTACCCCATGTAACAAAGCGTAACATTTTTGTTAGACCACCCCCCCACCCATGGCCGTTACGTAATATTTGAACGCTGCCTTATCCCACGTTTCCGGTAAATTGTGGAGATATCTGCACATGAATGTGTAATTATTCATATCACCGAGGTTTATATGACCATCGAAAATATCACTGGGTAACTGTTAATGTTATTGACGGACAGCCATTAAAGTCGCTACTTTCGCTCCTAATCGAAGGAATACTATGTAGTTGCATAAAACATAGCCCTGAATTTAGTAACTTGCTGAGAAAATTCAATTTTCCTACACAATTAAACGCACCGTTGCACAAAGGCGTGGAAACATCTCTTGCCGATAACGATTAAAAAAACACAAAAAAGCTAACAACAGATCCAATCCCTGGTTAAGAAAAACATGGCAACAAGCTACGAGTCATCCAAACAACTCTACCGGTAAATGCAAGTAATAAGGCGAAAAGATAGCGAAACAGCTTAACAAAGCCATCTCCATATTGATTATTGGTATTAGTGTTAATATAACACGAACTGCTGATGGCTGCCTCACACGATGTGCGCGAGACCGAGATTAACTGTTCATAATGATCGCATTAATTGGATGAGGAAATGCAGCGCCACACGCGACAGTTTCTCCACCTCCAGTTCCTGCAGACCGTCCACACACCATTTCTTCCCGCGGTAATGCAGCGTTGGGCGCGGATCCGCCGTCTGCGTTGCACACAACGTCTGCAACAAGAACACCAGTATTTTATAAAACATTCCCGTCTCCGCTTCCTAAGGTTGCTATCCAGACAGTGGCGTGCCGTCTCAAAATTAAAAAAAACACTTTTCAATTTTATTAGTTTTTCTCTGTCGTAAACAAAAAAATTAAATCAAAAAATAAAGAGTTATCGATGGGTGTAAATAAATACCGACGCCGTTATTTTCCACCGATATTCCACTGCCTTTTATAAACCGGCATTTTATGTATTTGAACGGTAATTCTGTCTTCGTCGCACACAGCGCCTCTAACCCGACAACCCCTGTTTTCTCGAAACTTCTCCGCTTTCAAGCGCAAATTTACCTTGCGCACCAAGGTCATGTATGTGATCGCTTGCTGGGTTAACTCCGCGGGTGCTTGAAATGCTGTCGAGTTGAGTAGAATTAAGTTGCGCGTTAACCACTCCGACAAGCCACGTAATTCCGTGTCCCGCGGCCGTGACAGTCCCGCTTCCATGACACTCCACAGTGCGCCGCCGAAATCGTCAGTCAGAATGTGTCGATCCACATGAATTGCCGCTAAAAGCTTTAATTCATCCCCCGGATAGCACCGGGTGGAAATAATGCACTCAAAAGTGAGAGCGCATTGTATTAGCTGGATATTCACACACGGCAGACTACGCAACGTCAGCATGGAGTTCCACCAGGTACTGGTGGTGTGCCAGTGGCGGTAACAGGCGGTGGAGGAACAGGTGACAGGAGGCTGATGCAGCAAGCACGGGGATTCTGGCTGGTCGTCGTACCAACACATCGGCAAACAGGACTTTAACCCGCGCAAATGAATGCCTCGCAACCGGACACCGGCCTTCCGCTGCGCAGTGAAATTCACGGCATTCAGGACTTCCAGCACGTCCATTTCACTCATACACCGTCCGCGGTCTGCGACCACGATGTGGTTGCTGGTGGAGGTGAGGTATCGGAAGAGGCATGCCATCATACAGTACACCGGCCCCAAATCGCACTGGTAGAATGCCGCGCTATCGAGGACAACATCACCCTTCGTGAACGCCGAATCCAGAAGGGTGTTCCATGTGGTGCACACCGGGCGCAGACGGGCCTGTGTCCAACTGTCCAGATACGGCAAGACTTTCACCCACACTTTCATCGGCAAAACAGGGGCCTCCGCCGCTGCAGTGTTAACCAGGGGCTTTGGGATCCGTGAAACGACATTCAGCAGCGCGCCGTGCAAATTACAGAGAGCGTCCTGCAAATTAAGCACTTCGTTTTGTCTCAGATTTCAGCCACTTTAAGTATACGGTTGGATATTTTGGTCAGCGGTCGTTTATACCACCCCCATGTAACGCGCTAAATAAACAGCGGCTGATCACAGTAATCATCAAAATAAAATTGAAAATTTAAACCTTATTAAATTTGCAACCGTGGAAGAGCGATCTTTTACATTTGCACCCGGTCCAATTCCTGCTCTTCGTTCGGTATTTTTTTTTATCAAAATTTCTCTAGTTTATGCTTCGAAATTCATAACCGAAGTTTTTACTATGAAAACCATTCATTTCTGGCATTTTTGCTTGTCCTGAAATTTGAACACCAGGTGACCGAAATGAAAACGTATTCTGTATGCTTAAAGTGACCGAAATATGAGACAAAACGAAGTATCGCATAACCAACTGCGGAAAGGGCGCGCAAATGGTTTTCCCTTACCACCAGCTCTAGTTCCGCTGGAGAATCGTCGGGTTGCGCTTCAGCAGTCGCCCGACGCTGAACGTAGAACACACAGCCGTCGACAATGTCCACGACCTCGGAACGAGCACCGTACCACTCCGGACAGCAATTGGGGTCTTTTTTAAGCTGACGCACCGCGGTGGTGACCCACGCCGCCGGATATCCGTCCGGCAGCTGTATGCTCCGCTTCACGAACGCCCCTTGCGTAGGGCGCTGCGGCGACGCTCCCGGTTCGCCACGAACTGCCGCGGCGGCTTTCTGCCCGTCCGTCGACGCCTGCCAGCGGATACGCAAACTGGGAATAACGTCCACTAACTTCCCAGGCTGCCAGCGACGGACGATGGCCACGCTGTAATCAGCCAGGGCGATGTCGCGGGTCCGCAGGAGCAACTGCGCCGGGAACCAGGTCCAGGTACCCGATGCACTCTCGCGCATCAGGACTTCGGCAGGCAGATCTTTCGGAGGATAGGTCTTGGTCATTTCTTTGCGGTACAGATAGCGGCCGTCATCGTTGAAAAAGACCCGGTCGAACGGTGTGAATTCCCGTCGGCGACTGGGACAGAGAAAGTCGATGAAAAGCCCGTTGATCCCCACATCCACTACGCGTCCGTAACGAAAGTGGCGATCGTTGCCTAGGACGTCCACGCTGTTCCACGGGAGGCTTGTGGGAAACATTATCAACAGCTGCAGTTAAATCCAGGACAACATCTCAAAGGAAATCAAACTGGTTTGGATATACTAGACACTGACACTGTAACACGAACACTGCAGGGAATCGCTTTGGGTTTCTTATCAACCAACACAGCCGCACAGCCCGACGCCACTTGCTGGCTACCCGGACGAACTTATCAGCTGATTATCAGTACTCTGTTGAGGTGGATCATTCGGAATCATAATCAGACTTGGAAAACCATCAAAAACCATAAAGACTTTTGTCTTTTTTGTGATAACAAAACTACAAAAATTACAAACGAATTGGTAGCAGATCCATTGCGCAGTACTTTGGCAATCATAGAAATTCTCAAATCACCAGTTGACGTAATTGACAACCGTGGATGGCTGCACTGTTCAACAGCTTTGCGGTCATTACTGAAATTTTGCGCACTCTGAGGGAGAAAACATTTAAAAAGCCATAAGTTTTTCGATTTCTATAATTCTATGTACTTCGTAAAATATCTGTAACATGTGAAAATATGTTACTACATTAGTCTGTACAAATTGAGTCTCCCGCGGTGCAGAAATTACCTGTGCTCAATCATCGGTGTGCTGACTTACTTACAATTAGATTCGAGATTTTGAGTTTTTTAAAATTCGTGCGCAGCTTTTTGGATTTTTAAATATTTTTGTATCGTTCCGGCATTTTCTAGAGCAGAATGCTTTATATACAGTAAACGAAACTAGGAAACCGTTTGCGCTCGCAACATCAAATTACTGAGATATGGCGAGTTAGTACAGGAAAATGATCTTGTTGTGGGCCGAACTTGAGGTCATTTATTAGTATTATTATTATCTGACTTTCTGAATTGACGAAATTATCTAACTTTCAGAAACGATACTGTGTTGGTGGCACGTGAACTTTCTGGCTTTCGCTTAGCTCCCCACAAATACGGACCGACAAATTGATGAAGACAAAAATTCCCAACCACGAGCAGTTATACCTTATTGAGCAATAATACGGCGCTGCAAGAGGGCATGCACAACCCCTGCCGATAATAACTTGTTCCGCTTACAAACAGAAATTCTCGGGGATAGTCGCGAGAATTACTTTATGTGGCGTTAATAAAAATCTAAGCGCGTGAACTTCTGCTGTTTCCGCTTGTTTCAGCCCACCGGAAGTGCGTCATCGTCACGTGCAGCGTTCGGTCGGTAGAGGGCGCTGTAGCTGTCACGTTCATGCTGAGACATGCTTGCAGATTGTCAAAACTCCAAACCAGCTCCAACCAGCCGTTGATGCTGAACGCTGCGTATTGCACAGAAGGCCAAAACTGATTGGTACTAGTTATAAAACTTTAAGAATTCCGGAGCTCCGACAGTTCTAGAATAGTTTCGTTTACTCAGATTGGAATTTTAAGTTTCCCAGATTGTGGACCTATCATCACAAGTCAAGCCGTACGTCATACTGGAGTGGCTGCAGCTTGCCACAGTTTATTTGATCGCCAGTTTCCTGACGGCATAGACTTGTGTAAGTGGTTGAGTGGCGTTGTTTTAGTTGGGGTTTTGCTGCAGGTTGAGACGATCGTGGGACGTTTCTGGAGCATCCGTGTTTGCAGCTGTTTATTCATCGCAATAGACGAGATATTTTTTGGGCTGCTCATCCATTCGTGCTGTGCCTAGTCAGGTTAGTCGTCTTTTGCAAAAGTTGGTAATATTGGGTTTTTTGCTCATGATCGCATTTCGACTGAACCAGTTTAATTTTACGACCTAGTACAATTCTTCGGATGATCACATAATGTGGAAATTAGGAAAATTCGGAGCTCCGATGGTTTTTAATGTTGATGTGCGTTAATTTCTTGATGGCTACAAGTATTTCGTATCTAGTTTTTATGACATTTTTATCTTAAATTGATAAAATCTCCAAACTGATCGACATCGACCGCGGAAGGGTGCTTAAGAATACGATCAGTCGTACTGACGCTAATCAACTCTCAGGCGACATTCGGTATGGCAGAATCCAGCGAAGCGCTTTTGTACGATATCATCGGATCTGAAAATCAGAAGCGAAATTCTAAGTTTTTTTAATTGCAGAACATGTTTCCGGCTTCAAGCATGGAGCATTTCAGTGCTCATCCGCCCCCAGATCCCAAATATTCGGCCAGGTTCCGCCGACGATACACCGGAGCCAACTACCATCAGCCGGACCCCGGTATGTAGTGAAAACACATCGGTTTCAGACTTGGATTAGAGAGTTGTAATTTTGTTTCTTAGGTACACAAGGCCTGGAAGTTCTTACTGCGACGGGAGAAAGCGTGATTTCATTAGAAGGTAAGTTAGTTTCAGTACTGCGTGCGAGATAGCGCTGTTTCGGTTATCTGCACAGTCAAAATGTTGCCTCTGAATTCGGAATAAATCTTTGTTATTGTTATCGAGATTTCGTAAATTAAATTTAATACGTAGTAAGCGCTGAAACGGCGATGTTTAGGTTCTTAAACAAAAGTTAAATTATTATTGTTTGTTTCATCTGTCTTGAGATTTTCAATTTGTAGGCGGTCACTACCTGACGCGTGGAGAACGGTTCGCACGGCGTATTGGCCAATATTACGCGCGAGGAGATTTCGGGCAGAGGAAAACGTTGGCCACGTGTATGTATAATTAAAACTTTGTGTATGCTTTTGGTGTGATGTTGATTTAAAAAGTTTCTGATGCTTCTAGCCACGCAGACGTGGAAATTACCACCTGTTCCAGCTGCAAAGATTCCGCAAGCAGTGTCATTCTATGTCAACGTTGCTGGACTCCACGTCGCTGTTAAGAAGTACTTGTACATTCCTGCAGATCTTGTGCGACGGTTTCCATCTATTGGGAGCTCCCAGGAAATCGTAGGACGCGGGGTTGAGAAACGTATTTATCTGAGTCATTACCAGATAATTCGTCTGTTGAAAGCTATTTCAAAGTACGTGTATCTGACGTCGGTCTACTCGTACTATTTTTGTATCGGTTGTTTCGCAGGGGTGAACCTACCGACGACCATCGCTTTGCCTGCGGCGTTTACTCCCAATGGATGTATTCCAAGTGGAACGCAGACCAGGCTGTTGTGTTTATTGAGCTTATTTTCGACGCGGGAGCTCCCGATGCGCTCATCTTAGACTTGTGTCGACCTTGCGGCGTAGCGTTGAACGGGATTCCTGACGTACGCACAATGCAGCAGTGGATGAATGCTTTTCTCACAGCAGCATTCTATAGAGGTCGTCTTGAACTGGCAAAGCAGTTAGCTATACGCATGGATTTGTATGGAATGGCTGTAAATATCCAGAAAAAACTGGACGAACGTCGTGACTATCATTTCTGGTAATTAAAATTTCAAATTTTAATTTTTAGATACACCTTTACTTTTTCGGTCAATAAGTTAGTGGAGTTACTGATCATATTTTCTGCAGCGGGCTATGTTATGATGCTTAAAGTAGCAGCCCCTTGAAAGTCAATATTTTATTTTGTATTATTTACTTACAGGGATTACGACGCAGCAGCTACTTTTGTCCGACGGGAGATGCGGGACGACATGAAGATGCAGTTGAAAATGCGGGAGAAATCAGACACGTATGTATTTACCCAAATTTTATTGGCTTTTATTTTACATCGTGCGAATGAGGAGTATTTTGTATTTTGACAACAAAAATTAATTTTCATTGTAGACCGCTCACTAACCATCCGTGTGCTTACGCATCAAACCGGTGCAGGGTTACGGGCAGTGTTCCATTTATAAATCGTCATATCAGTATTTGCGCTCGTAAACTGCCGGAAGTCAACTGCATCCCGTGCCGCGATTGTGGATTGCTGTTACCGCCCGGAGCTCCGGATGCACTCCACAATCTGCGGCACTCAGCGAATTGCGAGCGGCGTACCGTTGTCTGGACCGATGATCTTCTGCATACGGATGTTTTTGAGAAGCCACCGTTCCTCCCGCTGGGCCGCTGGGGCAGCTGTATCTGGTGCCGGCTGATAATGTTGACCGACTGGTTTGTCAGGTAAATAGTATATTTTAAGATTATGTTAATAAATTTTAATAGTATGTTTTTAAAATTAATATTTTTCGTCTTTTTTTACGGTTGCTATTGCATGCACAAAAGTGGGTACAAAATAATTCATGGTTGTTTTGTAGGTGTTCGAGCATTTGGCTGATTCCGGGCGTAGTTTCATGCTTCGCTTGAGCGAAGTGCGCCGATACTGAAAAACTGAAAAGAGGAGCTCCTGTTTTTGGTGTAAAGTTAGGTGTGAGTTTTCATATTTTCTCCCGAGGCAGGACAGCATTATGCCGTTGTGATTGGTTATGCGATAATTCTGTCATTTTTCCTGCTCATTTGACTTTTTCTTACTTGCCCATTTGACTTCTTTTTTTGCTTGCTTTCTCACAGTTTCCGCGGCTGCGTACTTTTGTTTGCTTGTTCTGCAATTGTTGTTGTGTGACTGTGTCCTGAACCTATTTGCTTGTGTGGTAATGAACATTTGTACGAATTCTGTACTTTTCAGGGCCATATTTCTTGAAGTGCTGCAGACATGCGCAATTCTAATCGGATGCGTTTCGATTGCTGCAATATGTGACTTGTTGTAAGAATTGTAACCTTAGTGTCTCTCATGTTCAGTAGTGGCTTTTAAATTTTAACTGTGCTTCTACCTAATTATCGCGGCTGTTAGCTTTTGTGGAAGTTGGTGGGTATGCCGGTTCGCGGGAAGGATACATGAATTCAGTGCCAAATACTACACGGTTAAATCTGACCAAATGTGGTCATCCGGAGCCTGATTCCTTCGTCATGCTGCGCGATATTCGCGACCCTGGGATGCCGTGGTTGGGGTTTGTTATCGGCCAGACGCTTTCCTCAATATGGTACTGGGCTGCTGACCAGGTAAATTATGTGGTAGAATAAAAACTAGGGAATTTATTGTTTTGTATAAATTTTGTAACGTCAGTTCAAGATGTAAGTAATGATTGATTTTCGGGGCTGTTAATAGAATTAACAATAATATTAATCGCGTTTTGTGTGGTGTAGATGATGGTGCAGCGTGTGCTATCCTCGAAAATTATATCGGATGCCCAAGGTGGCTGTATTCTTGCTGGAAATATTTGAGATTGCTGCCATTGTTTATTGTGGTCATGCCCGGTATGATTAGCCGTGTGTTGTGGCCGGACGAAGTGGGATGCATCAATCCAGACATTTGTGAACCGATTTGCGGGAATTGTGTTGGTTGCAGTAATACTGCATGCCAAAACTCGTGATGCGTCTAATGCCGGCGGGACTGCGCGGGTTAATGATAGGTACTTACATAAATGCTGCACTGGTGAACGATATCTTGTGGCTAGTTAGAAAAATCGTCGGGTTTGCGCTACCACCGTAACAGTTTTATTACCAAACTGCGCGCTTTAAACTCGTTAACGTTAGCAGCTTCGTACCGCACGCTAAGTTATAATTATAATTGTTCTGTAACGTAAATGTTGGTATCCCTGGTGTCCGACTTGTCTGCTATATTCAACAGTGCTTCCAGCTTACAGTGTTTACTATTGATGTGTCGGTACGAGTACATCAATAAATTTTAGCATTTTTAATCACGTGCGGGCTATATGCATACTTATTGTACTAGTACAGTGCGTTTCGCAGGTAGCTTAATCGTTGAACTCTGGGCAACAACAAGAATACTTAAATAAATTGTTGTAATTAACGTTCTAATTAAAATCAGGAGCTCCTATATTAAAGAAAATATAGACACTAGATGCACACTAGATTGGCGTTTGAGCCATTATAGAAACAACCAACTCATTACCAGATCTGTCTTGAATGAGCATGCCGTTATTGCGAACAGAACCGGTTTTTAGAACGGCCAGCTGATTAGAAATTTTGACACAAGTATAATTTTTCTGAAATAAAGTATTATTCAGGAAACTATCTTTGCTGAACTCGTAATATCTCCATGCTTTCCTCTGGAGAACGGTAGCGATGATGAATGCTGCTCTTCGGTTCACTAAAATTATAGCCCGTGCAATGTACGGATTGCCCTTTTGATCCAAAAATACTGAGTCGACGTGGTTTTCTTTTCTTTTATAGGAAGCAATATCCAGGCGCGAACCAGATTCTGTGATACATCGCTGGTATGTCAACAGCTGAGGAGCTCCTCTTAAAATTCCCAATCCGTGAAGGTAGGCATACACCGGACGATCTGTGGCTTGCAGTTCTTCGATCGATTTTCCTTTTCCACACAGATATGCCGCTCCCGTGAGCGACTTCAGTTTTATTGCGCTTGCTGGTAAGTTCTTTGTCAAAGACTGACGCATCCGTTCCACTTCCGGTGTAACGTTGTCTCCAAAGCACGCCATCAAAAAATCAGAAGAAAGTCCAAAGGCAACCTTTCCAGCGATTTCCTTGTGCTGCTCGTTGGCCCCTTTCAGGTGAGATTTCATCTTTCCTACGTAGTCTTCATGCTCGAAAGCCCAGAATGATGTTGGATGGCCTAATAGATACACGTATTCGACCAGATGGCAGCACATTTGGTGCAAATTATACGACATGCTTCTTTTGCCAAAAGTTTGTTGAATTTCTAGGCCAAACTGGATCAGTAGAGCGGAGGTTTCCAGCAGTCCAGCTTCAGTGATATCCTGACCGAAAAGATACTGTGTGGCGGCAGCAAACTTTGCGTACATGAGGAGCTCTCTTCCGGCACAATTCCGTGCAAGCAAGGTAAACTGTAATACAACGTGAAAGCCATGTACATGGAACCTTTCCACTGGCCTATCTCATCTAACGTTTTAGGCTTCCGTAATGTAGACGGCGGTTGCAGTTTTTCTAGGAAAGAATTAATTTTTTTCCTGTTATCTGGCGTTAACTTCCACGCTGTTCCCTTCAAGCGATACTCCATAAATTTCTCCTCCAACCCTTCGAAGCACAAGTGCATAGGCTCTACCGGCATTTGGGCAGGTAAGTTATAATCTGTCAGTTTCATTAGCTCAGACATTCCTTGCAGTCCAATAAACTCGTGCAGTTGATCAGGAGCTCCTAAAACTGCTGCACGCGCACGCGCTCGCTCTTTCGTAATCTGAGCATCTCGAAGTTTTGGTAGACGGAATGGCGCCTGCTTTGAATTTACCATTGGGTAGCATTTTATCGTTCTTTCGTCTACGCCAGGATTCAAAAGAACCCTTTCCCCAGCATATTCACAGTGCACGCATCCAAAGTCAGCCATGAAGGAGCTCATATGCGCAATCGGCCATCGTTCCTGGCTGTCAGCGATATAAGTAAGAACTCTCACAGGCAGTATTTTTTGTTCACCATTTTCCGTGTAAATAATGCCGTTTTGTTCCAGGTCGAGGAGCTCCTCCATAACTGGATGTAGAAGTGCCTGCTTCCAGTTCGCGGGTTGCTGCCATTTTTGTTGAAACAATTTTTCACTTTTGTTCCATAGTCCTAGAATGTGCGGGGTTGGCCGTTTGTTTTTCACTGGTAAGTGATAGCTTAAAATCCATATATTTGATTTTGACGATTTCGCTGTTGCCGCTCCATCGGAAAATAGCGCTATCGGAAGAAATCGTCCAAGCTTTCGGGCATAATTTTTATAAATCTCACCATCTGTAAAAGAAGTAATGCAATCTTCGTCTTGTGCTGGCACATTGTAGGAGCTCCTAAATTTGGCCGACTGCGCTAACGCTGTTATCCTTGGCTTCAATGGGAAATGCACAAAGGTAAACAGGCTGAGTGAACCTTTCGGATACTGGCTTTCGCATTTTGGGCAATTGGTAGTTCCTTCGGTCCGCTGTTCTGCGCCAATGTAACTGCCACACAAAGGGCATGCAACATGGAGGTCGTATTTTGGGAACATATTTCTTTTTCGGAGTCCCGCTTCCAGTTGGTACAACGTTCTGGGGAATTTGGAATTTTCAGGTAACAATAAAGAAATTAAATTCAGCAACGATTCCTGCGCGTCGTAAGATATGTTAGACTTGTCACAAGTCTTTAAAAATAATCCCAAAAATTGACCAATTGTGATTTTAGCAGATGGGACAGGAACACGATCCCAGTCGTCGTGGAGCTCCACGTGGACTTCTTGTGGTTGTTGTTGAAACTCATCATGATCTATAACGATAGTATTCTCGGCTGCTAGTGTGCTACCAAATAGATCTACTCGTACCATTTTCGCCAGGTTCTGCCGCAACAGTTTCAATCAACTCTTGCTGATCGGTGGCATCCACCCCGTCAAGAATTTCTGCCCAGTCGTCGAGGAGCTCCTCACGAACTTGATGGTTTCCTGCGTAGCACATAGCGGTTCAATCACACTTCCGTTCCAGATATATCAAGTATTAAATTCTTGATGAATTTGAGATTTAATATATCCGGAACAGCTGTGTTACTTGCCGTCGCCGATACCACCATCATCCCGATAATCAGCGCCCAAAGCTGCTTCTGGAATTGTGGTTTTCCGTCTGCGGTTCCGGTTGGCATGCTGCCGAATGCCAACTTTACGCCTCCTGCGTTCCATTTCACAAGGTAAACGATTTTATAAATCAATTTTAACTTTAAAATAGTCAATGTACAACTAAAAAATAAACAAACCTTCCTTCCAGTTATGATTAAAAATAATTTCTTAAATGAAGAACAGTTATTTTCACCTCCTTCTCTACGCGGGTGGATGTGGCGTGCCGAAGTTGCGCGCGGAGTCGCGAGCACAGTTTTGAAGGGGTTTCTTTGTGTGCAATATTAGCATATTAATTCCCGCTTCCGCTGAGTTTTGAGCGGAAGTCTTACTGGGAACGTTTCCTACCCACCGTTATTTATGAAGTTTTAAACTGTATGTTTTGGAAATAACGGCTAGCTTCACGAGTCACCAGTGACATCGATAGCTTTATCCGCGGAGCTCCGTTTTAGTTGTTTCGTTTCAGTTGCTTAAAATGTTGTTTCTGACTATTTTATTTTTCATGTTGCAGAAACTGAGTTAGATTTTAAAGTACACCATTTTTTTGATCGCTTATAAAAATGTGTAGTAAAGTTACGACTGTTCGGCAGGACCAGAGAATAAAATTTAATGCCTGCGTTTGTCGTTTAGCGGCAAAAGGAGGTAATTCTGTATGCATGCAAAATTCGCCGATATTATTTGCATAGCCGCGGATATTTTCAGGTGCTGTTATTTCATTGTTCCACGATGGAATTTATCATGTTTCGGGAGCTCCCCTTTTCTGATATCAAGTATTATTACGCGGCAAAGAATCAGTTTGATGACGACTTTGTTCCGGGCGATAAGTACAAATGCTATTTTCCTGAATCGAAGAAGGACCACGTAGCCGAATTTGTTGGATGGTTTCCCACGGAAGAGCGAGCCGAAATGCGACTCACCGAGTTGCAGCAGCGGGTAAATATTATTACGAAGTGAATATTATTAATAATTAAAGTGAATTTTTAAGATAAAGTAGTTGACTATACTTTGTGTGTGTGTGACTGTAATTTAAGGACGGCAAAAAGTCTGGAGCTCCAGCAAAGCGCCGGGCGACAAAGATGACCGACACGGAAATCCACAAGAAGGCGAAGCAGCCGGACGATAAGCAAAGTGGCTGCCAAAAACCGCTAACGTTTCAGGAGCGAATGCGACAGAATGGCGTTGTGCTGGGGAATTTAGCAGGCAAGTTAAGAACCGTGCAATCTGTCGCTTGTTTAATGGAAGTGTAGGAGCTCCTTGCGATACTTTAACTAAAACATTTAGAAACTAATTTACATATTGTTCCACGCACAGAAAACCGTAGTGGTGGCCATCAACCGAGCACGTCCACAGGTAAACTTTCCTAACCTGTGCAGCTAATGTGACTGCATATTTAAAGGGTTTTTGGCAAGATTTCTGTTCGGTAAAATAGGGATCACCAGCCTGGCATCAAAGGAGCTCCCGTTGCCAGTGAAGCTGCGTGGAAACACACAGCTGCCACACACTTTGCCGACAACTTCAACCAATGGTAGGATTTGCATTTTGCATCACCATTAATTTTGCATAGCATCTGATTTTGCAGATCATTCGAACCGGCCGCTGGAAGAGCCGTCTGCTTCATATACGGAATTGAAACGTCGGAAATTCGCGTGCAAAACTATTTTAAATAATACAGCTGTTTTAATTTTTCTAGGAATGCAGCCACTGCAGTGTCCAGCGGCAGATGTATCTTTTGATCGTAAAGTTGGAAAGTCGACTGACTTTTACAATTTATGGGACACATTAAGCACTGGTATTTAAAATCAATTAAACAATTTAAAAATTTCAAGGAGCTCCTTTTTTTCAGATGGTGCTTGGACAAGCCAGACTGATTTAGTGGAAAAAATTGCTTTCGATGTTAAACAAGCGGAACTGGATCGCGATGCATCATTCGGTTAAATTTAAAGGGAAAGTTTATGTCTACGGCTAACAAAATGGCATATTACAGAAGTGTGGGAGAACGCTGCTGTCCAACAGCAAAAGGCGCAGGGATTGTCGGAAGAGGATTTATACGTGGCATCTGACACGGAGATTTTTCGCGCCCTGGCCATGGCGGAAATTCCGGTGGTTGAAGATGGGCCGACTCGCAACACCGCCATCGTCACGTTTCCACAAGCCGCTTTGATGGGAGCTCCCTGTATGAAAACCATCTCGTATAACACGTTTGCTTTTAATTACAGCTGTGCATATTAGTGATATTACTGATTTCTGATTTTTAGCCGACGGGACTGCTAATAGCTCAGATGTGAAAGTGCCCACTGTACTCGTGAAGAACACAGCGGATATGCGTAAGTAATTAACTGAACACACCAGCGCTATTACTTTTCTTGTTAGCTGCTGCTTTGATATTTTTTAATCAACATTTTGTGACTTTTATGTTATTTTGTAGTGAAAAGGAGTTCCATGTTGTCCAGCTGCCGCAAATTTCAGACAACGCCGATTTGTTGGAGGAAGGGTTTCCAGTTAAATTCAAAGATCACCGTTGGAAATGGCCAGAAATAGGAGCTCCTGTTACGGCTGATGAAGGTGCGTTTCATCTCCTCCGTTTTGAAGTAGACTGCTATTTTTGTTGATTATTGCGATCGTTTAAAAACGTTTTACAGAATACTATATTCCTCTGCGCACCTCAGAGCGGGAATTTCATCTAAAGAATCCTCCGAGGGTGAATCGTTCTGCAATTACTCTGCGCGACCAGTTGTCTCCATGGTTTTTCCAGTTGGGAGGTCCCGGAAAGAAACACCTGGACGTCGCCTTTCCTGCCGTTTTTGTGGACGATGATAGCCATTTTTTAGAGGCTCAGTTTCTTAATCGAAAGATCACCGCAGAGAAGTTTTCGTGGTACTTGATGTCGCGAATGATGGGAGGAGCTCCTGGCCTCATTCGTTTGGCGACGCTGTACGAAATGCACAAACAAACTGCCACTAACAAGCGGCAGTATAACTTCTACGAAAGAGTTTTGGGAATTGACTTCTTCCGTTCTGTTGACAGTAAGTGCTTGTGCGACTCCTACTACGAATTTGTGTAAAGTAATGATTTTTATGAAAATTTATTTTAATTAAGTAAATCTGTTTCCTTTTCAGAAAAGACTCGGGATTTAATTCGCGCTATGGTGCCCACTAATTCGGGTGGCGCTGAAGCAGCTGCTCGCGCTGCAGTAATTAAAGGCCTCCCGGAAATCCCCAAATCCATGCAGTCCCACTTTGGCCATAAGTTTGCCAACTGGATGGATAAGTTCAAGGAACAACACGAAAGAAAAAGAGCTGTGGACCGCGCATTTTTCTAACCATCTAAAGGAGCTCCTATTGTGGTGGTATTTGTTGCTATTAAAATAAAATTTTGTTCCGTTACTTCGATGCCTGCGCATTATTGATATTTCTTCTGTTTACGTATTTCTGTTACCGGCGGTTACGATTTTATGCTGTTTATATGCTGAGCGTTGGTCTTATGATTGGTCGGTTTGTGCGTGCGCGGTACGGGCTGCTATGCCGTTTGAATGCTACGATAAAAGTTACTGAATTTGGCGATTGGAGCATTTATTTCAAACCCAGCCAATAACTAGCTAGCAGTATGACGTCATTACACACGCCTGCCAACCACATAACTATTTCTGATTGGTTTATTTCTAACCATATAGGAATCGGATAAAACACGCGATGCACCAATGCGAGAGCGGACATAGTAAACAGTCCCGTTGATATGTGGAGTCATATTCTCGCAACGAGCTACGATCTCACTTTTTTCGGCAGGGAACGTCCGATCCCACGCTGCCCCATGCCTTCACTGCAGCGGTTTCTTCCAAGATTCGGGTGCTTTAACGTGATGTGGCTTTAAAGGCAAAGTAGGGCATTCCAATCTGCATGGCACGTAACATGAATGCAGAAATGCGGTGTGGGCTGGCGGGAAGAATCGCACCAGGGTCACACTGATGGTTGTTGCGTTAATATAGCGACTGAAGAGGGTGGCCGCGCGGGGGCAGTTGTCGTTGTCCGCTGTGAGTTACCGCTGGAATGCAGTTGCCGGCAGTTTTCGAAGGAGATGCTGGGGTTTTTCTTCCTACTGCAGGTAGCTCAGCAGCAACTGTCACAAGGCACACACACTATCTGTACAGGCACAAACACATTTGCTCCACGAACCTCAGCTATTTTTTTAACAACAAATTCGAGTTCACCGATGTTAATTTACCTCGAAAACCCGTTTCAAACGCAGATAAACATTTTTTGCCTTTGATGCAATTGCTTTTGCCAATGGAAGTAGTGGGGCTGGGGCACCTTGGTACCGGCAGTCAAAAATTTTTTCGTCCTAACCAAAATCTGAAGAAATAGTTTCTAGATCAGAAAAACTTGCTGATTAGTGGTCACTTGGTCCGATTAACACTTGGTCCGATTTGGCTTATCAAATAGGAAATGGTCGATGGGGGTCTCGTGTAGTCTGGGGGTAGTTACACTGGACTTCGATTGCGAATTTCGGAATTTGCGACGTTGTTTGGCCTTCTGGGGCTGCGGAAGCATGGGGTCACGGAATATAGGGCCGTACGAGGGCGGTATAGTGCGTTTGGACTAAAATGTGTGCATGTACTTCCGCGTTTCAACTCGTATTTTAGTGCTTCCTAGAATATTCTCTTTTGTTTTAGATTGCTCTGACTATTGTAACTGGTTCTGCAACCGGATGTGCTCTGCGGCCAGCGTGTCTATAAGCCTCGCGATTGCAGCACGTTCCTTCTGAGTAATCTAAGTTTTGGCAGTGACTTTGTTATTTGATAAAATTATCGTCGGAGAATACAGTACATGTACCAGATACAGTGCTTTGCGTAGATCGTAGCTTATGCAGATTACTTAGCTGTACCACATTGAAATTATCAGCTGCTCATTGTTTGCCGCTGGGTCAGGTCGGGAGGATTGATTACGGTTATAGTATCTCCATCACATGGCCTGTCGGAAAAGCTGGAGGGCGATGTATCATGCAGGGCGCAGCCTGCACACGATAGCGCTGCGTCGTCCGCAGCACCTCTGCGACACCGAGCCTCAAACCATGGCGCAAGGTGCGTTCTTCCTCTCGCAGTCCGAAATGCACCGCTCTGGACTTATCGACCATAACACCGTTTGCTATGGCTAGCGCGTGACGGGCTAACCTGTGAGTCTGTTTTAGTGCGCGACAAGACGAAGTCTCTGCTGGACTACGAAGGGATTATCGGGTAGGCTCGTTGACACTGATGGTCATCCACCTGTCAGCGTGCTAATGTGTGGCTTCTTGCAGGACGCCGGGTCCCCGTCTCGACCGCTCGCAGCTGGCTTCCTACCTGGCGCAGTCCACAGAGCTGCCTGCGCGCCGCCTGTTCGACAGCTACGACGAGGCCATCATTCCGTTGAGACGCGACTTGGAGGTGCGCGAGCAGTATCATAACGGCTTCCAGCGCGTCCGCTTCGGACTCCTTCTCGAGGACCTGGACAACTTTGCTGGTACGCGCTTTTTATCAATAATATTTATAAGAACAACAATTAACCTTTACCGATCCGTCTTAATCACGTTATCCGATGCGGAAGGAAAGCGCCATTAAAATGTATTTTACGTTTAAGAACAATCCTGAAAGACATTGAAACATGTTTCAAGTAAATAAACTTGGTTAAATACGTACGTTTCGGACTGAATCCTGAAACAATCCTGAAAGACATTGAAACATGTTTCAAGTAAATAAACTTGGTTAAATACGTACGTTTCGGACTGAAATATGTTTCCACAAGTTTCACATGGTGGTCTGTGGAAGCGGTACACAGTAAACAGTTTGCTCATGTTTCTTACGAGTAGATTTCCTTAAGTTTTTAGAACTTTTGTTAGGTTTTCTTGGGTTCTAACAATAGAAATTAACGGCTTGCAGATCAGCCTTTCAGTCTCAGCCACTACTCGTGCAGTGGCCAAACTGCGTGCGCCATGTTGCGCATGCATAGGCTACTATGTTAAATTTTTGAAAACATAATATTTCAGTCAAAGTCAGTTTTTCTCACTAATTGAAACGTGTTCATACATGTAGATTCAAAAATTCTTTTTGATACTAAAAATATATAGTAGAGTCGGTTTGCTTCCCCACTGTATATTGTGATTTCACCTAAATAACAGTGTGGCTGGCCTACAAGCACACCCTCCTCCCGCGGAACCCTGACCCTTCCAAGTCTCCGTTCGGCATCGTCACCGGGATGGTGGACCGCATCGGTAAGGCCATAATGCCTCGCTGATGCCTGGGTGCTTGTGGCAGTGGCGGATGTTGGTGTTGGTTGTATGGGTAGATATTGAGAACCGGCAGCTGCCGCTGGACCAGGACATGCGCTTGCGGGGCCTGATCTCCTACGTCGGCCAGTCCTCCGCCGAGGCGCTCGTCTTCATGGAGCAGGTGGGTGTTAGCCCGGTTTGCCACGGCCATCGACTGTCGTGAAACATGGGTGTATGTTGCTGCAGAAAAAGAGCGATGGACCCGGATGGGACAACATTCTGGAGGCGCGTTTCGTCCTCGTCGCGCGCGATCCCGTGCACTCCAGGTAGATATATCGCTGTGGAAATTTAAAAAAAATATTTCAGATTAATCTTCCATCAGTTGCGAATATAATTTCACATCAATTTTTTTGAATGCTTTCATGGTATAATTAGCTTTAGGCCGAGTTATGTGTTTCCGCAGAAAAGCCATCCTCAATCCGCTGCAGCCCGACGGCGACGAGGAGCAGGCTTTGTACGATGACGCTCATGGTCTGTTATTATCCACATCAGTTTTTAGCAGTTTTTCTTGATTTAATTGTGTTTGCATGTTTCTGGAATAATTGGTGTTACTATATATATTTTGCGTTTGCATTTTATGGAGTTTGTTCTTCTAACAGCCAGCTACACGGCTCGCAAGCAGTGGGCGGAAGACTCGCTGTTCAAACTGCCGCCCAACCAGGAGGAAAGCCGCATCATTCACGACCAGTTCCTGCAGACCGTCGATCCCCGGTCAGTCCTTATTACCTTTCCTTCGGATTAATTACATTAGTCGACGTAATTACTTGTATTTGTATCAGGGAGTCGGTGTTCACGGTGCGCGTCAAGCCGGCCAATACGGTGTGGATGGAGGAGGCGGTGCTGAAGAACGTCCACATCTGCCATCCGCAGAACCGCAACGTCCACGGCAAGATCTTCGGCGGCTTCCTCATGCGCAACGCTTTCGAGCTGGCCTGGTCCAACGCCTGGCTTTACGGGTGCGGCAACGCCCATTATTTTTAGCTATTCTCTCTACCGATTTTCGAAACACATTGTGTTTTTATTTATCATTCTTATTCTGTATTTGAAAATGTGTATTCATCGATTAGGTAGTACATAGCAATATTCTGTACAATTTTGAAACGGTTTCCCCGTACATTGCAGCGGATCGCGGCCGAACGTGCTAAGCGTGGACGACATCAGGTTTAAGCGGCCGGTGGAGATCGGCTCGCTGCTTATGATGTCGGCGTGGGTGAGACTGTCTTTTCCTTTTGCTTGATTGATTGTTTGTTTATTGAATAACCAAGCCGGGCAAAATTCGGCACTATCACATATCTTTTTTCACGATGAACATGATTATCATCATATGCTACGACTAGTCAAGTCGCCTCACGGTTAAGTTTTCTCATGTAAAGTGACCTAATGGCCTATTTTTCTAGTTAGTGTTCACGGAGGGCGCGGACATGCAGATCCGCGTGCATGCCGAGGTCATCGATCCGGCCACGCGCAAGATCGAGACAACCGACATCTTCCACTTCACGTTCCGCGCCTCCAGCGGCGGCCCCGTCCGCACCGTTCTCCCCAAGTCCTACGCCGAGGCCATGCTGCAGTTGACCGGCCGGCGGCACTACGCCGCGTCTCGGCACCACCAGCGCTTACTGCAGGAGAAGGAGAAGACCGTGGTGCCGCACTAACACACATATCAACGGGAGGACAATTACAGTTAACGTGCCAGCGGAAAAAATAGTGTGGAATTTAATTAGCCCTTCCTTTTTCATCACTGGGACCGTCTAGCTTCCTTCTGAAATGTTCTGTGTCGTGAAAATGTTCATATGTAGCCCGTTGTATGGGCGAACGTGGATTACTATGAATTTTGTGTTGTGTTGTGGAATAAGTGAGTTTATTTCCTGCGGAAGATAGTCCTGAATGTACGGAGTCCGTAAGTGACAGAATGTTTTCTTATGATGAGTTTCTTTGGGATTGACGTATTTATTGATAAAAATTCTTCCGACTATTTAAATTATTTTGATCTGATTAAAAGTGGCCGTAGCGTTTTGATTGAATATATTTTGACAGTGCAGAGAAACAGTTAATTAAACTCTGGGCGCAAAGGAACGATCATTTCCGGTCAGAACGTCCTGCGGGACGACGGGCGCGGGTGCTTGTTCCATGTCGTCATGGTGACCGCCCGGAGCGCGGCGTTGATCTGTTGATCTGGGATTGCTCTGGTGCGGTGCGGTAGGCTATGTAGCGGAAGGTCTGACTGTAATGGTCCGACTTACGCCGGTAAATGTTATCAAAACAAAAATAAAAATGTTATAAAATCAAGAGATCCCCAAGAGGCTGGTAATACATATATCTGTATCTCCGCTGACGATCGGATAATAATTTAAATAATAATTATAATAATAATAATAATTGTGCTTACGTGATGACCTCGTCTTCCTCCATGGGGAGCTTGTAGCCGACAGGATGGTGGACGGGTGGATGGTGGATCTGCAATGAAGGTCATACACATTTCTGCCAAAGGTCATCCACCTTTCTGGAAAGGTTATCCACCTTTTTGCCGAAGGTCAGCCACTTTTCTACAGACCTACCCACATTGATACCCTAAGCATTCTGCTTACGAACCGTCACCTTATCTTATCGCCTTCCAACAAATTTCAGCCTTTATGCTAAACAGCTCTCGTACTTGTAAGGCCAATGCCATATTCTATAATCTGCCTTGTATTACTGTAGTCGCAAGATGAAATGGCAGCACTTTTAGATCTGGCCGTTGCCGACTCCATGCCACCCAGCGCACACATTACGTAGAACTTTGGGAGCGTATTGCGCTGTTTTCCGTACACTATACTCTTTAGGGCCATTCCATCTAGCGGCTACAGTACTAGTATATGTATTGTACACACAGCTACCCTGAAAAGCTGTAAGCCGTGAGACAGAAATGTGGACAATTCATACACCGATTTGTCGGCTTTCAGCAGGTAAGAGGATGCGATTTCATTTTCCACTTCCGCCATCCATCAATCCAACCTTCTGCCGCCCACAGGTGCACAGTGAACGACAATGAGTTTGATTGCTCAGATCAACAGATACCGCGGGTATATTTGTGGATGAAGTTTAATAAAAGGCGGACGATGCTCGGCAGAACAGTGAAAGACCTTCTGCAAAAAGGTGGATTACTGTTTAAGAAAGGGGGATGACCTTTCTAGAAGGGTCGATGATCTTCGGCAGAAAGGTGGAAGACCGTTCTAGAAAGGTGGAAGACCTTTGGCAGAAAGGTGAAAGACCGTTCTAGAAAGGTGGATGACCTTCATTGAGGATTCACCATCTACCCGTCCAGCTTCCTGTGAGCGACAACCTCGAGATGCAGTGCAGCGGCTAATATTCAGGTAGAAGTATGTAACTGATTTCAACGAACCGCACGTAGAAGGAAATGCAAATCCTACATCAGCAAAATTCTGTACCAGCAGGCCGAGAGTGCGGTTATTCCATACATCAACACGGACACGGGCAATCTCAAACATATAGTTTTCATATATCAAACATGGATTATGTGGGTCGATCTTGCAGTGCCGACACACCTCTATAACCTAGACGGCGAAAGATAGCAGTGCCGGCCGAATAGCAGACAATCCAGCAAAGCAGTGATTAAAAAAGGTTAAGGCTGATGTTGGAACTTGTTGGCTTAATCGTCTCAGGATTATAATGTAGATAAAAAAACGAAAATGATACTCAGTTCGTCCTGAACGAGATTTTACCAAGGATGGTCCCTTACGACCTTCCGCGACTGTACAGCGAGCGCGCAAAGAAGATCGGGCTCCACTTTGACGGCGGGGAAAGGTCACGCGGGCTTGTTTGAAGTGATCGGTGTTCAGCATATTTCACAAGAGTATTACCTAGATGGTAAACGACCCAGCCGTATTTATTTTGCTCTGCGGCATCACTGGATTTTTAAACAAACTTTTAATGGCGGCCACGGGAGATGGGTCGAGCCACATTTGTTACATGGTCTGCTCAGATGTTGATATCTCTTCAAATCAAACCACACTCCCAGCGTACCAACTCCTAGTGCAAAACATGGCGGACATTCACTCTTGCGACAACAAGGGTGTAAATTAAATAATTATGCATTTGTCAACGGCTGACCTAGGGCAAATTTTGAAAGAAACTGTCTACACTTGGCGCGATACACCTGTTTTTACATCTATAATAACTCTCGCTGTTAAAAAAAAATTTCTTATTAGTTGAACGAGAAAACGAATTCTTGGTTGAGTAGTGCGGTTTAATAGCAGATAAGAGACACACCTGACGCGAAATAATTTTATTTACGAAGCTTTTGTTGGAATTGGCACACTTTGTGGTCATCAACATTCGTTACACAAGCAATAGATTTCACAGCGGACAACCCGCACAACTCGACGGGCGATATACAATCGCTGTCGCATATCCTGGCTGAAAGGGCTTTGTAAATCGCTCGCTCCCAACACGGAAGTTTTGTGTCTAACGGGAAAATGACTTCCATGCTGAATGACCGTCACAAAAATGTTGAACTGTATGCAAAAACGGCTGCGGTATCTCGCTGTTAAGAATAATAAACACCTTTTCCTGGAAGACAAATTCTCGTTATTTGCATGCGTCCAAGATCACAAAACTGCGAGACAATGTCAGAAATTTCGAACGACATCCTGAATTTACCGCCGTGCGTTTAAATAGCCGAAGCAGCGCAACAGTCTCTTGCATACGGCCAAAGACGATCCAACAACAGTTTTGACATCACAGTGTGCGCGCGATACGGAACTGCGCCCGGGTGTGGCCCGGTGCAACACTGACCAAAACCATGCACCTGGTTATTATGGCATTTACCCGTGGGCGGTTACCAGTAAAGAACATACAAAACAAGCTTAGAAGTTATAAAATCACGAATAGGCAAAACTATTTTCATAGTTTCGAATATCAAAGGAGGAAGATAAAATTCTCTTGACGTTATAATTTGCGCTCTTCTGTATTTTCGTTCTTTCCCCCTTCTGCTATGGTCGCATCAGTAGTGAAAGCTTTCATAATAGAGCTTTAGGGCGGTTCAGACTTCAGGGCTTATCGCATAATGTCGACAGATACAAAAAATCTTTCCATATCCACCTGGCGGCGATTACCGAAGCATGGACATCGAATTTTTTCGTTAGCCCGGCAGAAAGAAGACTTCCGCTACGTTCCGGTCGACTACAAGGCAAATACCAAAGCAAACTACGTACGTGCAATACTACTGTACGCCAAAACCGATTACAACAAAGTAACTCTAACTTACAGTTGCCAGTTCGGTCAGAAACGATAAGATTACACGTATGTATTACACCGTTATGTCGATACATCTATAGTATATGCTGTAATGAATGTAGAATAAAATAATGTGATAAGAATAAATGGAAAACAGTGTACTGTGAAGGTACTACTGGAATGTTTTGGTATCGCAGCACGCCGGTTATCTTCGGCGCGATAGTGCAATCATACAACTCATAGTTAATGCAACTCTTTCGCGTTCGTCTCAGACCCATCTTTTCCTGACGGCTAGCTGGTGTGGGTCGTTCAGTTTTACTATCAACAGAAAGGGATTCCCGCTGATAGAAACCAGCGAAAACAACGGTCGCTCTATCGCATACCACTGACTCGTAATGGCTGCCGTGACCGATTCCTTACTTATCGTGACAGAAGGGGCGGAGGTATGTACCCGCTGACCAATAGACTGTGCTCCTTTCTAGGTGCAGCTTTCCTGTCGAGTCGAATTCTAAAATGTGCAGTCGGTGTTCAGTCGGTGTGTTTCTATAATACCTGAAGTGTGTACCTCCGCGAGTAGTCACTTACAGACGTTTTGATCTACTTATTTAGATCCCTAAAATAATTGGTTCAAAATGGACCAATAGCAAAACAGTTACGATGACATCGGACACCCATATAACCGTGTACGATCAAGGCAATGTCTGGACGAGGCCTTCTCTGACGTATATCAACCTGTCCGATCCATTATCTCCGCAAAACTGCCACAATATATGCAACAAACACTGGAGCCTTAGTGGTCAGGTCGTAGCGGCTGCTCTCAGTCCGAAACGAGAGTTCTGTCTGCTACAAGGTCCGCCAAATTTTAACGCTATGAATATACGTTAAAATATTCAGAAGTCAGGACTAAGAAGAAGTCAGGATTAGTGTTCTATCGCAGGTGCATCTAACCTAGTATGGATAGTCCGAGCGGCCGAAGTGGGGAATGAAGTGGCCAAAGGCCGTAACCTGAAGTTGCCGTACCCGGTGCGGTTGGTAAGATGGTTGGACGACATACACGCTGCATTTGTAACCAGCCGCTACGTTTTTCACTTGGACAACACGGGTATAACCACATGGGATTGTCAGACCACCACCGAGTACACGGAACAGCGTGTCGTCACCGATTATCAACAGAACCGGCTGAAGACATGGTCGTTCGTTGCAGCTGTGGAGCATGCTGTAATTATTGTGGAATTACTCACTGATCAGCAGTACTTCGATTCCGCTGACCAACTGATCACTTTTACTTTACGGTTCAGCTATGTAATCGCCCTTCAAACATCAAACAGGCACGTACGGCGTCACAGGGAAAGAGGGAAGCTCGGTTAGCTGAAAGCGTACAACGGCGGATCGGATCAGAAAATCTCATGCGGCATTGCGTACCTGTTTGGCTAACGTTGTGAGCTGTGAGCTGGGTGATCAAAGGTTAATCAGATGAGCCGCTACGTAAAAGTGGTCAACTGGCTACCGGAATCGAAGTACGCGTACGGCGTATCCAATCATGTACTTGGGATGTTTCGCTCTGGCCCGTAGGCGACACAGTCTACCGGTACCATCGAAGTATTCGCCATGAAATTTGATGCCTCAGGAACGATGAGCGGGTTTGCAGCTGCCTTCATGCCGTCGCCGGCTATAAAGAAAGCCACGACACAGGAAGTGCTCGTTGCTGACGCGACAATGGACAACATAATCGTCAGATACGTGCAATTAACAGTTACAAAACCTTCCGCGGTTAAAATCTTGGTCCACGCTTCCCTTGAAGTGACTTCTCCTAGTACTGCTGGAGGCGGCATTCAAAGGGATTTTCCTATCGGAGTGAAGGCAAGAGTACTACAAGCATGATAATTAGCACAAATGTGTCATACCAACATTGTAGAATTTACGACAGAGCGGGTAATTCCGGCGCTTATTATAAAATACGGTAATAACCTAACGCGCTGTTACACGCACACAAGCTGAAAAACGGTTTTCTCGAAAAGAAAAATTCACTCGTTTCACTGCGGTATCCATACTGTTATGCACGTACTCTCGCTACTCATGCGAAACTAGAGCATCATTTCTAAACAGAATGGCTCATTTGCGCGTTATCTCACCATTTTGTCATAATCATAAGCAGTACACTGAGTACAGAGCTGAGTGCTTCAACTCATTCTTGTTGTAGAGGTGATGTTGCCGCAAGTGCTCGAAATTGCACGCGAAAAGAATTTCGATACTAATAGTACTCGAATTCAATTCACGTATATCCAATTCCGAGTACTCTAAATAAAATTGCATAGAATTGATTACAATATTTGTAACCCAAAATACGCTTATATGAATTTCGATTACTGGATTTCAAAATACCGCTAATTAAATTTCAGTTATTCGAATCTAAATCACGGTGATAACAAATGCAAGTGCTCGCAATTCAAACTTGGCTGTTCATGAATTCCAATTATAAGAATAATTTTACGACGACGGTACGACAATTTTAGCGCGACCAAACTAACACTTAGCACACAAATCATAGCTTATACAGCAGCGTTGCACTGTACTGTAGTCTAGTGTATTTACTGTAGACTCTAACTGTAGTTGTGGTCTGTAATCTGTAGCTGAGCGATCTACGTACTGTCACTACTGTGTAAAATACTGCCATTATTGACAATTTTGACTATGATTGTAATGTTCTAGTGTTGCTTTTAAAGGTAACTTTAGCACGAAAAGTCGAAAACCGCAACGAATCCTGCAGACTTTTATCGTTATAACTCAACGCTAACTAACAATTATACAACAAAGTAAAAACACAAGTACAGGCATTTTCATCCTAGAACCGTGAGCTACTTAGGCTGCCGGGTAAAACTAGGTGACGCCTGAATGGTGTTAAGCTGAAAACCGAACTTTACACAAAATCTTCGTAAAAAGGCAAGTTTTTGTTCAGTAGCGTTTCCACTTCCAGTCGATGCCCGCCTAGTCTATTTCTGCGCCCAACAGTCTGGAAACCAGAAACTGAGAACAGCTGTTCTGTTGATGTGCTGGTAGCAACTCCACCTGCATTTCGAGAAATTTGTTAATTTCAAAAATTTGTGAATTTGGACCATTAGGAGTCCGCACGGGTGTTGGCTGTCGATACGGGATTCCTGCACGGGTGCTTGGTGCGTGCCCGGCCAGTTTTTCCGAAAATTTTTAAACAATACAGAAAGCACTTCAGATAAGTTTTAATTAATTTTTAAAGTCGGTTTACGGATGCCCAAATAATTATTGTGAAAGCTGTAATTCCTTAAGCAATTAAAAAGAAATCTTTTCAAAATGGCCGTTTAAGTGCTTTTGATACTATCACTATATATGCCCGAAAATTTAACCTTTCCGTCCTGCGCATGCCACTGATTGTGGCATACTAAAACATTTATCCCAAAAGCCGAAAAATAACAAATCAAAAAAAGTGCTTAAAAAATTTATAAAATTAAAGTTGCAGTACTAAAAGCGCCCGAATTTCGTGCATGCAGAAAACGCCAGTTCCGAAATCTGTGCGCCCAGCCAAACCGCGAGCGGACACCCGTGCATGCAGCTAACGCTGGTGTCTTCCCCAATACGCAGCGTTGGCCTTTATATCTCCCACCTAAACGGCAGCAGCAATTTCGACAGCTTTTCGAAACTTTTGCCATGTGACGACTTCCAAAATCGTACAGCATCGCTCTGTTCAGTAAATTCGGATAACTGGCGGCTTTGTACCGCCCAATTTCGTTTCAACGTTGACCTTGACCTTTCCGCAGCCATGTGTTCTCAAATTGCCCAGTTTGTCTGAGGTTGGTGAATCGCGCTCGCTTAGGACTGGGCTGCTCGTCTGACGAAGGACCAGGCGCAGGTGCGGAAGGAAAATATTTACCGTACGTCGCCTTGACAAATTTCACTGCTGAATCCACTTGTTCGTTTGTCATCAGCCTCCACAAGAATGGATGCAAAACAGCCAGCCAAATAAAATGGGTTATGCTTCACATTTTGAGGGTCCAAAATCGTGCAATCGCTGGTCAGCAGCAGCAAGTACAACGTGTGCTGCGGCTGATACCATTGATCTTCGAGACTGAAGGGCTGTAGTGTTTATCCAGTTCCAACAAGATAGCGACGTACATGTCGTTCGTTGTATAATCTTGTCCACTGGAAATTGTGGTATAGGTATCGAAAGGTTCCAAAACTTCCGTAACGCGTCAATGGCCGACCACTCGTGAGCAAGAAGTGAATCAACCGTTCTGTTCACACACATTGTCAACGTCATCTTTCAGCTCGCACAGCCTAAAAACATAATTCAGATATTGTCTTGTTACCCAATTTTTGGGCGATGTAATTTACTGGAAATTGTTTGGTAAATCTAAACGAATTTAGAGATTAATCACATTCATGTACTGTAGCTACTATAGGCATTAGCACCACTTTTACATCCGAACGCTGCGTGCTCCTTGCCGGCATCGCACGAATTAAGTAGAACACTGAGCAACATGTGCGTCATTTTCCGTACACTGCACTCTGTAGTGCCACTTCATTTAGCAGCTACAGTAGTAGTAAATCTAAACCTTCAATGAAATTTAATGAAATTTTTGTAAACCCATTATCGAACACTTAAAAAATTTTATCATGATTTGTTGGTCACCTTTTCAACATGATGTAAGTAGAGTTCCATCGGGCTCACATCTCAACCAGTTTTTGCCTGATCGGTCTATCAGGGCCGCCGTTGCTGTATTGGAATGGTTAAACTTGGAAACAAGTTTTTTCGCTTTCTTAATGATGTCGCGGCACTCCTTCACTGTGTCAAATGACCGGACGGCGCACTGAAGGAGATGATTGAAGCAGGGATTCTTTGAAACTCGGCAAAGGTACGGTCGTGATCTGCCTCTGCCTCGTCATAATTCTGCATCTCTTCTCGGATAACTGCATCAGGATCAACAGGTGTAAGTGTGTGCCGCTGGTAAGCTCCGCCTGCTCTACTGATTCGCTTAAAGCCTCGTCCATGGACGCTAAACAGAAATTGTCACTCATAATCGATTCTACAGCATGATGCAGTTGTATGATGCAAATGTTTTGAAAGTTCAGTATTAAGACGTTTAAGATGCAATATATTGCGAAATATTGTTGTAGTTATCACTTTTAAAAGTATCTTCCTGCTAAAATCGGCACTATTGTTAAATATAATAAAATACCATTCAGGACTGCTGTGGTAGCTAGCGCTTCGCATTCCTCATTTGCCTCAGCAACGGCTTCAGTTCTCCTCGTCAAAAGGTCCAACGATACTTCCTTAAATCCGCAGTCATATTCGTACCATTGTCGTGACAATAACGAAATCGATCTCGGGAATTTCCTTCTGTTATTTTGTAGACCATTTCTTTAATCCGCACAGCTGTGGGTCGGCGCAAGGAACGCACTGCCAGTGTTACTGCTTTGTGTTCCCACCGAGACAAGTGGGCAGTTACACCCAAAATGATTCAGTCATCCTTTTGTCCATATGTCGGCGCAAATTGTAATCAATCTACAAAATGCGGAAGGATGATTATGATGGTAACTTGTAGCTAGTTGTCCTTTATTGCATAAATGGCTGCACTTGTGGTAATCCATCCATCATATATGTATGTAATATTGTAATGCCTTAATTTATTACCAGCTACTTCCGTACTCCGTAGTTTTAGTTTCATATCTGTAGGTTTAAACGCTGCGCTGCATAAAATTAACTGATTTCAAAATTAGGTAAGTACAATTAGTTTTCACACTCCCCCCTCAGAAAATTTCGTTTTTTGTTTGAAGACATGGGAACATAACGTATGGGAACACTTAAAAAAATACTTTCATCGGCAACGGTCCAGTGGGCGTCGCCAAACACGAATATAATGGTTGACATTATTGCATGTATTGCCAATGCCGTATTACTTGCTGTACATAATTATAGTGTTAAAAATTACACTGATAAATTTATTTCGGGAGTTCTGTGTTATCTATTACCACTGTAGTTTTACTCCTTGAATCGATTTTAGTTCCTAATTCACTGTATTGAAAGAGTAAATTGTTAGAGAACTACAACGGGGACTGTACGAAACCGAATAGACCGTGTGCCAACCATGCATTTTAGAGCGTGATACGTGGTGAAATTCTTTAAAAATGTTACTTTCGAGTGAATTAGGAAGTAAAATCAAATGAAGGAGTAAAACCACAGTAATGGATACCACAGAACTCGCAGTAAATTTATCAGTGTAATCTGATAACAGCAATACGACAATGCATTGCCGATGAAAGTATTTTCTAAGTGTACCCCATACCTATTTTGTCTTCAAACAAAATGAGATTTTCGGAGGGGGAGGTGGTGACTGAGCGCTGTCAAGTAACGTGCAGAACTTACTTATGTGTAATAAATTTTGCACCGAACGCAGGAGACGCTGGGATTCAGAACAAACGCAACTTGTTTTATAATATTAATGATACTACAGTGATATTGAGCGCACTCACGCTGGTATCTGCTTTGCTTTAATAATTTCAGTTGACCTTCAAAATTTAAAGGTGTGAACATAGTAAGATCGTGTCAAATATTATTATCCTAGATGAAAGAAGGAGAAAACCACATGCACCACAATAATTATTTGTTTTTCTGTAACTGTACCCAGTTTCGTGTACTAGCCATGTAAAGTGTATGGGAAAACTTTCAGCGACGTTGCGCGCACATCTAAGATGCTGCCCATCCCGCATCTGAGATACCGATCTTCATAACGCGATCGCGGATAGGCTGCATCGCACGGTTAAAAGGTTGCAGATCATATCTGAATTCAGTCAACTTTCTACAGAGCACTGAACGGCACACTTTTATGTTACGGCATGCTTTTGTGTTTGTTTCTACAAATCATTAAACCGTCGGCGCCGTGTGCATCGAAAATTACAGTGAAAAAAACTTTTCT